GGAAAATAAAGGGAATATTTAAATGTTTGGTTGTCTAGCTGGGATTAAAAAAAGATACAATTGGGTTTGTTTGGTTGTTTGTACCAGTTAGGTCGGGTTTTGCTGAGATGTTATTTGGCTGCTTACACACATGCCAGTAGAATAATACTCTTTATCACATGCCAGTAGAATAATACTCTTTATCACATGCCAGTAGATTAATACTCTTTATTGGGGTGATAAGGTTACTAATAAGCATTCTAATATATTAGTACAAAATTATGATTTTAGTATCGTTAGTTCCAGTTATGCTTAGTCAGATTACGTAATAATAAATAGGAATGCCAGACTTGGCAATGGTTTGTACAACAATATGCTATTACAACTCTTTTACACCTTTACACATTCGTGCTTGGCAAAAGCATAAATTATATAGTTTTTAATAGTCAAGACAAAGTATAACCTCACATGTTTTAAGAACCATACAAAATCTCTATTACAAAATATATGGCTAAAGTGAAATCATTTTGTCATGGTAATAACTAAAAACTCAATTATATAATCAGTAGGGAAATAGCTGCCCCAAAAAAAAAACAACCAAGCTGTTGTCAATTGAAAACAGTGTTTATCGAAAGACATGCTTCACTCAAAGATGTGAAAAAGTAAAATGGTATTTGTATTAATGTTTTCTTGGGATCCCCCATTACATGCCCCCTTAGGGTTTATTTATAGGCCTAACACTGGTCCAAGCAACCTAGGGTTTCTATGTACAAAAGAATTTACATGACTATCCCTATGATAGGGACATTTACAGGGGTAATTACAGCCAATTGACCCATTTAGTTAACTAGCCTCCCCTTGGCTTGGTATTTCACCTCCCCTTGGCATGTTATTTCGCGTCACAGCGTCGTTCCAAGGCTCCCGTCTTTGCTCTGGCGGGTGCTTTGCCCAGGAGCATGATAGTTTGTTTCGATAGCCTCGACTGATAGTCCTTGTGACATGCCTCCAACACAAACTGTTCGAGAAAAGCCACGAACCATGACGGGTGGCTAGCTCGCGTGCACGCGGGCCTCTGCCTCAGTAGCACTTAGCGCTTTTCTTGAAAAAAAACATCGTGCATGACGCGACGTCGCTAATCGCATAGTAGTTTCTCAATAAAAATAAAAACAATTGTTTTTGAAATTTTGAGTTAAAAGTTTCCAAATATATATTGACTTGAAAATTTTCAAAATACTATTTGAAAGTTTTCGAAACATCGACTTGAAATTTTCAAATCTGAGTTAGTAATAAAAATTTGAAAGGTTGAAAGTTTTAAAATTTTGACTTCAAAAATTTTAAATTTCGAGTTGAAAGTTTTAAAATTTGAGTTGAAAGTTTCAAATTTCAGTTGAAAGTTTTTAAAAAGTTAAGATGAAATGTTGAAATTTTTCAAAATATGACTTAAAATTTCAAATTTCGAGTTGAAAGTTTTCAAATCCTATGTTGAAAGTATTCAAGTCCTAAGTTAAAAGATTTTAAACTTTTTGAAATTTAAAATTTGAGTCGAAAGTTTTCAAATTTTGAATAAGGCTTTCATTTTTATATAGAAAATTTAAAATTTTATTTGAAACTTTACTCTTTGTCTTAGGTCTGAGTTTTGGCTCAAAAATATCAGACTATCCGATATGAGATCGGACTGTCTAATGCATCGGACTATCTGAAATTTCACAAAACTTCACTCTCTGTCTTGAAATTTTTTTCATTCCTCTTGAGTGAATTTTTCTAAGTCAAAATTAGTCTATCCGATGTGATCGGACTATCCTATGATCCAGAGACTCTAAAATTCAATGGAACTTGAGTCTCTATGAGAGGATGGAATCCTTGCTTCAAAAATACGGACTATCCGACATGACTTCGGACTGTCCAATAGATCAGATGATCCGAAATTCTCCAGAACTTTGTCCTCTGTCTCTGACTTTTTTGGGGATAAAAAATATCGGACTGTCCGATGTCATCTCGGACTATCCGAGGTGGGATTAAAAGATTCCCCCCCCCCCCAACGGCCACATTTTTGGGGATCTATAAATACCCCCCACCTAACCCTTTTTCTAGGGTTACCCAACTCATTCATTCTCATTCACTTTGGTTGAGCTTGGTGCTAAGGTGCTTTGGATCTTTGAGCTCTTTCTCTCCCTCTCAAATCCCTCCAAGTTCTTAGTGTGTTGGATCTTTGTGGTTGTGGATTTGTTGTTTGGAAGCCTAGTGTATGTTTCACTCGATCTTGAGTACTAGGGTTGTTCCAAGAGTTGTGTGGTATTTATTACTCTTGGAGGTTGAGGACTCCTAGATGGCTAGGCCTCTCTCTTGAGCCACCGATCTACTTGTGGTGGGCCAAGAGAAGTTTGTGAAGGTCGGATCTCACCTCCAAAAAGAAAAAGAAACCTCTAGGGGAAGGAGGAGTGCTTTGTGCAACCTCTTAAGGAAAGGGTTAGCAAAGAACCGGCTCTTTGTGAGCTCCTCAACGGAGAGTAGAATCCCCTCAAGGATTTGAACTCCGGGAAATATTTCGGCAGGAGATCTCAGTGACACTCATTCTTCCCTCTCCTCTTCTACTTTGCCTAGCTATGCCAATATAGCTATTTGCTGGTTGCTATACTCTAGCTTGTGTAGCAGATCTATAGGTTGTTGCTTGTGACTCTCTAAGTATCAAACAGTCTGATCCATCTTCGGACTATCTAATATATCGATAGTTCATCTATTGATCAGACTATCCAACTCAGTTTCAAGTTTTAGCTTCTGCTTTATCGTTTTAATTAGCATATTCACCCCCCCTAGGCCTAAGTGACCCTTTCAGATAAGTTAGCATTATCTTTGAGGACTTGGGAGAGAAAAATATATTGTTATGTGCAAAATGGATAACAATGAGCTAAAGGGTGGTGAATGAGATGCACTTTATAGTGTAGTGACAAAGGGTGTGTCCTTTCAACCCGAGGTCCCGTAATCAATCTCCAACACGCTAATAATTTCTTCTTAAAAATTGTTCGAAGTGACGTCTCTCCCTCCAAATCTCTTTTTTTAGCTAAAGGGAGGTGAATGAATGAGTAACCAATGATAAAATTAGATAGATGAGTAGTTTCTTGATCCAACGGTTGATAACTCTATACTAGTGTAATCTGTCACCAAACCAACCCTCACCATGGCACCCATGGATGGGAGCCCAAACCCTCTCCTTCTCCCTTCCATCCCCCTCTCTCTCCTATGTTCGAGTGGAGTCGGGCACAGGAGATGGCAAGCGAGAGGAAGAAGAAGGCGAGGAGATGGGAAAACGCTTTGTACCGAGCGTCCGGATACAGCGCAGAATATCGGACGGAACGCCAGGGTGGGGCCCACCATTAATTCAACCCGTCACTTCTCATCAAATCCTGCAACAACTAAGCACATTTCCTCCTTATCCAAATGCTTTCTGTGTACAGCTCTGACGACGGCGACTTCATCGACCACTCTGATCCCACCTTCCCCAACCCAACCTCCACCTCCGCCGCCGCTGCCATGGCTCCCGCTCCTCCTCCAGCGGTGGTGACGGCGAGAGGCGGCGCGGCTCCTCCCTCCTTCTACGACGACGATGACTAGGCCGGTCGCACCTCCTCGGGCCCCTCCCTGGCGGGAGTGGGAGGTTGGGAGGGCTCGGCTCCTCCTCCGATGGCGGTGGCAGTGAGAGACGGCGCGGCTCCTCCTTCCTTATACGACGACGACAACTAGGTCGCGCCTCCTTAGGCCCCTCCCTCTCCATAGTCTCCCATCGCGGGGCACGCCTCGGTCGTGCAGCCTTCCTCCCTCGCGGATCCGCTCGGCCGGCCGAAATAGAAGAAGATAGAGGTGGGTTTTGTTGGGGATTTTTAGTGAAGTTGCAGATTATTTATATTTTTGTTGCACTTTGTTCTATTAAGTTGTTTCGTTCTGTTTTAATTCATTGTTGCATTCATCGATTTTTGGTGTTGCAATCCGAATATTCGACTATTGATTTGGTTAAAACAATTTTGCTCAAGCACGGAGACATTTTTTCTCTGCTAGTGAAACATTTTGACTCATTGTTGCATACATCGATTTTTGGTGTTGCAACAAGTATGTTGTACTATTGATTTGGGTGAAACAATTTTGCTCAAGCACTGAAACATTTTTTTTTCTCTGCTAGTGAAACATTTTTAGAACATTTTTTATTGGAACAATTTTTAACAAGAGATGAAACATGTGAAACATCTCTCAACAGCACGATGCAACACCGTCCGACGATTTTCACAAGATCGGACGTCCGATCCGTAGCAGCCTCCGAGGAGATGTGCCATGGGCGGACGTAACTAATAGGTTTAGTGGGCCTAAATGGGCCGCAAAAGGGCTAAACATATTTGTTGGCATGAATTTTTTTTAAGAGAAAGTTGATATGATTTTATGAATATCACGATTGATAAACAGCAGTGCTAGAGTATAAGAAACTAGCAACTCTCATTGTTTTGCTTACGCATTGCTTATTAACAATTTAAAAATAATTTGTGAGTAATATCTTTTATATATGTGTCCTTAATGATTTGAAAGCAAATGCTGTAAAATACAATGCGATGAAAAATCACAAAATCAACTATAAAATTAAGTTTTAAACTTTAAATTTTCGATAATAAGCATAAGCAAATCAATAGGCTCTAGGCCTTGTTACATGGCAAAGTTTGCTATACTATTTGACTTCCCATTTTGGACACGCTAGACCATCTTTTCCCTCGTACTCTTTATCTCATAGCGTTGGCTGCAGTAAAAGATGACAGTTTTTGTGCACTCAAAATAACATAGATGTATTAAAAGGTTCTCCCTCCGTTTCACAATGTAAGTCATTTTAGCATTTCTCACATTTATATTGATGGTAATGAAACTATATCTATTTAGATTCATTAACATTTCCCACATTCATATTGATGTTAATGTGAAAAATGCTAGAATGACTTACATTGTGAAACGGAGGAAGTAACAAACTTTTTGCACAGAGAACATAGACGTAATGAAGTGGAAAACAGGGAAGTTCCAACAAAAGACCCACAACGGGGGTTCATGTTTGAGTTACAATAGTTCACTAAGATGCTGACTTGTGTTAAACTGCTAAACTAATGGAGGAAATTGCGTATGTACTTTCTTGGCTTCTTCGTGATTACTCTTCTGACAAAAAATCTGCGAAACTAATCAGCAGAATGCAGCTTCGTACATCTGAAAGACTTGAAACACAGCCAAACAGTGCAGTATGAAGCAGCAACTAAACTCAAAATGAATTTCGCTTCTACGGCAGCGTCAAAATTCAACATATCATCAAGCATGAACACTCAAAACATCAGCCAATTAATCCTTCACTTACGGCTGGGTAAATGTCTTGACCCTTGCAATGGAGTTCCTGTCATATGTTCACTGCATTTTGTGGTGATACGTTTTAAGTTGGCAAAGCTTCACAAGCAATCATTTGATAAAGTGAACACTGCTTCTGTCCACCCTATTCCGTTCCCATTTCGCTGCCTTGTGAAGCCAAATCCTTCGGTGAAGCAGTTGCATTGTTTTCAGCTGTAGATGCCTCTGCTTGCTTCTTACGTCTGGGTCTTCTTGTTGTCATCTTAACAAGATTATCCTTCTGTGGTGCCTTCTCCCTAGTTGAACCACCTGCTTGTTGCTTGCTGCTAGATTCTTGATTTGCATCAGGCAGTAAGGCTCGAGAACTTAGGCGAAGTTGACCCTTGTCATTTATCTGGTTAAGGCAGTGAAAGAAAGTAGAGACGTTCAGAAGGCAATGATGTTTTATGACATACTGAGGTCATAGCTCATTAGCTCCACTCATATTATCCAGTCAAAAAACTTTAACTAAATTGGCATATCTAGTAGTAGAAATAGTCCCAATCTCATTCGAACTTCATGTTGAATTCAAAAGGAGCTACAAACCTCAATTAGCTTGACATCAATGCGATCGCCGACTTTGAAAGCCTGAAACAAACATAGCATTAGATGAACTAAACATGCATAAAGAGTAAAGCACAGGAAACGAAATTGAGATATTTACTCACATCCTCAGCCTTGGCCAACCAACTCGAACTTAACTCACTGATATGGCATAAACCCTGCACATTGTGTTAAGCAAAATAAACTATCACAAGAAGGTGACAAAAAAATTTGGAAATATGTTTGTGAAAACTACTCATTCATTCCTCAGAAGCCAAATGTGCCATCTGAATTTGTCATTGAGGGTGCTTTCCCTTTATGCATTATACATGCAATAAATATGTGAAAAATATTGAAACTAAGTAAATTTGGTATCTGCTGACCTCACGCCCTGGTGCAATTTCAACAAAAGCTCCATATGGTGCAATTGTTTTGATCTCGCAGTTCCTGCAGATGATTTTCCAAGAAAAAAGTTTGATGAGCTAAAACTGGAAAGTCCATTAGAAGAGAAGAACCTAAATAAAACCAAGTGGATAAAGCAAAATAGCACCTGTAAATTTCTCCAACTTTTGGAACCATGGTAAGGTTAGCAATTATAGCTTTTGACTTCTCTAAGCTTGATAAGTCCCTAGCGGTAATTTTTACCTGCCAAAAGCATTTGTGAGATAATACTTTAAAAAGGATAAATGGTAAGTATTTATGTTTACTTACTGTGCCATCATCTCCAGTGTCAATAGCATCAACGCCAGTCTCCTCAATTATGCTTTTTATCGTCTTTCCACCAGAACCAATTATTAAATTCACCTTGTTTGGCTTGACCTTGAAGAACAATGTCATTCAACATTTTTAGAACACTACAGTTGTAAGAAAAGACGCATCATAATTCATAAGCACTTATGAAGAAAAGACAAACCTTCATGACATGGATTAAGGGAGCGTATGGAGAGAGTACTTTTGCTGGTGGAGGTGAACATTTTGACATTTCATCTTAGGAAGACAATGAAATGCAAAGTCAGATGAAAGAAATGAAAATAATTTGCAAACATAAAACTTACAATAAAAGGTTGTCTCAATATAATTTTTATCCATGGAACATACTGGGCACTATGTTACTACTGTTAACAATGTAAGAAGAAAAAGGTTGTTATCCAACAAAGTTCTGGCCACATTGTGCCATTTACTATTTAGAATATTCAGGATTGAGAACAGCACACCCAAATTGCATCTGGTGGTGTGTTTGCAAATGATGCCATCACAAGTAATCCATTTAACACTGCAAAGCAGGTCCTGCACATACTTTCTTGTTTTAAGAAAAAACAAATGGTGACTGCCCTCCATGGCTTCAATGTTTTCTACACAATGCTGAAAGACAAATAATCCATTCAGGGGTTCAAAAACGAGGAACTCAAACAGAGCTCCAGAAAGTTGGTATAATTGCATATTGTTTTGGCTTGCAGTTTAGATACAAATGTATCAGAGATTTGCAGGTAAGCCAGTTGAAATTTGACTATAAATTTCTTTCTTGGTATCTATGAATGATAAAGCAAGATTGACAGTTAAGCAAAGACTTACTTAAAATATGTTTTCTACCATCTCTAGCTTGAAGAAGGGCGTGTTCCATTATAGGCAGAGTTATCCCCACTACCTGCCACATCATAGCAAGCACAGATAAGTTGTTGATGATATGCCTCCCAAAAAGAGTAGCAGACTAAAGCAAAGCCCATAAAACAAGAGCTTGCCATCTATAGTGATTAGTAATTACTAATTTACAACCTTGATGTCCATTTGGAAAGCAGATATACCATTTTCATTACCAGCAACCTGCAACAACAAGAGTTGACTGGTCAAGAAAAAGAACTAAAAGATCCAAACAACAGCAAAAGTTTACCAGTACATTGCATTTCTGAATGAAAAACCCAATCCAGAACCTTAAAATCCATATCACCAGAGGCATCTTCAGCACCCGTAATATCAGAGAGAATAAGTGGCTTGCCATCTCCACCAAATTCCAGTGTATCAAGAACCAAGCCCATTGCTATTCCAGCAACAGGGAACTTTATTGGAACACCAGCGTCTTGAAGTGCTAAACAACCTCCACAGACAGAAGCCATGCTGATGATGTACCAGAAAAGTATTACTGAGGGGAACATTAAAAAAAAATATGTTGTAGGCTGTACTGTATGCAACATGCAGTGCTCAGTTGTTAAATACTGAAATTGTGAAAAGAACTTTTAAATAAAATATATGCAGCTTGTGGCCTGCGCATATAGATGGTAATTTTATACATCTGACCAATTGGCAAAATATATATCCTGAAAACTCTAGTAGGAGTGGTGACAAGTAACAGAACATCTAAAAGTAATATAAAGAACACAAGGCTTGGCAGTCATGTGTCAAGTGTAAACAAATTTATATATATGTGACTATTGTCGCATTTATCGTATTCACTGAAGGACAACAAACAATCAAAAAATGAAGGGCAAGCATGAAATGTACCTGGAGGAGCCATTACTTTCGGTGATAGTACTCTCAACTCGAATAGTGTAAGGAAAATCCTCTTCAGGAGGTAAAATTGGTTCCAGGGCTCTTTCTGCAAGCATTCCATGTCCTATCTCCCTCCTATTAGGTGCTCCAATTCGACCAACTTCACCAACAGATGATGGAGGAAATGTGTACTGAAGAATGAAACACCACAAATTAGCTAATTATGAATGAAATGTGTACAAAGCTCCGCTCTGTACAAAGTTTTATGACCATAAATTAGGGAACAAATCAAGCTGCACAGGTCAGAACAAGAATGAAATTGTAAGTGTACAACCTTTAAAAAGAACTGTATGAGTACAAAGTCATATTCAAAGGAGTGCACGGCACAAAGAGATAAGATGTCAATTCATAGCGACCTCATGAATAAGATTACTATGGTTGAACCCAAAAAAAAAAAGTGGATTAGGGAGCGTCCTATGCTGTTACAGCTAGGACAACACTGAGTTTTGACTGCAGACTACACCACACATGCTAGAAAGGGCTAAGTATGACTATGTTTGTTCCTGATTCATCTTTTGGCAAAGGGGGGGGTGGCTAGTTCACAAATCTTATACTAGATCCAAAAAACATTTTAAAAATAGTTAAAAGCAATTGCCCAGATAAAGAGAACTATCTATAGCATAACAGAGCATTATAAATGACATTTTTTGACATGAACACAGCATGGGAGGCCCCCGCTGTTAGAAGGATTTTATTAATGGAGCAAAAAATTACAAAGAATTACAACGAAAGAATCCGATCCTTAACTACAACTTTATCTCTCTCATTATAAATGACATTATTAATCAATAGAGCTAAACAAAGAATTTGTTTTGAGATGCAGAACTGTAATTCATCCAGCCCTCGATTTCAAATACCTGAAGATAGAAACTTTTCGATTCCTCAGTATCAACAAGGTTATCAATTCGCTGTGCCATCTGATAGTCACCTAAAGTGACCACAGCCAGTGCCTGCATGATTGAACAAGAAAAGGTCAACAAAATATGGATTTCTAATCTAATGCATTTTAGACATTTAACTGAAGTGAAAACAGAGCCCGTTTGAAATAAACCAACAAACATTCATCCAGCTATTCTGTTTTATTAAATTGTGGGGATCGCCCCCAATTAGTAACTGTTGCACTCTTTTACATTTCAAAATAATGGTCAGCACCTACAAACTTGTTGAAAATACTCTTCATAATCTACTTTATATATATAACTCGCAACAAGTGTTGATCACAATAAGAAACCAATTCTTAGTTGCATAAAAATATGCATGTCACATGCTTTGATAGAAAACAACCACGATTCATAATAGCAGAGTGATCAACAAGATTATTGAAACAACATCAGCAAGATACGAAAGAAAATAATAACACGAGAATACGCTGCAACCTGCAAGCAATGTCAGTTCTATTAGACTGTCAAATGAGGTGTATTACCTTACCTGGGTTTCTCCCCTTGTGAATAGTGCACTACCATGTGCTCGAGGAAGTAATCCACATTGAGAATTAATGGGACGAAGCTCACAAGGACTCCTTCCATCACTTCGCTTTCCACCCTGAAGTTTCAATATTAATGAAACTCATGACTATGGCAGCCTATAATAGTTTGAGCAAAAATATTTAGGAATCGTTTCAAAGATGATAAGTCTTCCTAGTAACCCCAGGGGCACACTGCAAGAATGCCAGACATTTTTGGTGGAAAGAGTTTCCATCTGATTTTTTTAATTCTTACATGGTAGCATCCAACAGCACTTCTGACCATCTTTTATCTAATCATTCATCACGGCTGAGTTCCAAACTATCATGCACTAACTTCTATCTGATAACTCACCATGGCTAACTTTCAAGACTGTCATGGACTATAGCATTGAAAACATGAAGTCAAGTATGCAAATCAAAACCAACTTCGAAAATGAATGCATTATTATGTTATCAGAAACAAAGCAGATAAAATATTAAAAGAACATGAGACACTGATTTAATGTAGAAAACTTTGTGGGAAAAATCCTCAAGTGCACAAAGTTACTGGTAGTAGAATATAATTTGGTGCTCTCTCATTCTTTTTTTTTTTCACATGGAAACCCTGCAGTTCATCGAGGGTGTCCAAATAGGGGAATTACAGGACTCCCTGAGGATTCTCGTTGAACAAGTAAAGATATCCGATTCACGAATTTGGGTCACAAATGCAACAAATCATAAAGCAAACTACATCTAACATTATGAATGGAGGTCATCTTATAGCTGCTATTTTTAGATAATAAGGGCAATTAATACCTCTACAATCCGTCTCCGTAAAAATTTGGATGAAACTTCCTTGAAGACTAGCTTGACGTCAACTTCTGAGAATAACTACATTATCAGGAAGGTTCCACAGACTGAATCAGCAAAAAGCGTCAGACATACAAACAGAATAAAAAGTCACAAAAAGATCTACCAAAACTGTACCTTTACCAGGCACCAGGAAAGGTTTATTTTAAGATGTTATTGCTAATATTTTGGCAAAGAATTGAAAAGATGAATGCGCATCTCCACAGAGAACAGAACAGCATTCATCACCTGACGTGGGGGTTTCCTTGATACTGGCTTGATATGAACTTCACCTTCATCCACTTCACCATCCACTATAACTTCATCCTCATCCTCTTCTTCAATTACATCAGCTAAATTTTCACTGACTCCAGATGACTCATCTTTAGCAACATATCCTTGTTCAGAAAGTATTGTTATTACTTTCTCCTCCAATGCTGAAAGAGCTTTTCTTCTGAGGATCTTCTCTTTTATTTGCAGCGCCTTCACCAACTCATCTCCAGAAATATCCTGAACACATAAGCGGTTGGAATAAGTGGTGGAAAACATAAAAGACCCAAAGCATGACTCCCTGCTCATTCTGCTTCTGAGAAAAAAGAAAGGAGATGAAATAGCAAACACAAATGTTTTTCAAAAAGAAGAAAGCATGCTGATCAATAGTTTTTTTCCCAGTTGATTTTGTATTGTTGATGTCCCATAATTTATACTACCTCAACGACCTACATTCCGTAACAGAGGGAGTAGACAATAAACAGCTTTTAGCAGAAGCATATTGTCTACTGACATTCTTAGAAATAATTCAGATAAAAACTCAGGGCAGAGTAGCAGACTCGCACATAACCTATAGTAAGCGCAAATTGAAAATAAGAGGGTACAATATGAACATCATGAAATACTCTTAGTCCATCTAACCACCAGAAAGAAGGATCTGAGAAAACAGCGATACTATTTATTATCAAGGAAAGGCTACTGGCCTGTGTATCAGTCATATCAAGCAAATGCACATGTTTTAAAAAAGGTAGAAAGAGAGGATAGAAAGGGATTGCAATTTGAGAAAAGCAAGTGCTCAACTGTCACCACAAGTACAAAAACAGTAAAATTGATATTTTCACCTAATATAAGCCTATTAACAACTTAAAATGACTGTATATGACATATACCTATAGATAAGTGAAAAAATTGCACATTTGTACAATAAAGAGCTGTAGTTGTTCATACTTCAACATGCCTGTAGAGTTCAGGGGGTGGTAAGTCGATAGCATCGAACATTTTCTTCTTTCCACATTTCTGGACAAGACCATCAATTGCTTTGCAGATTTCTCGAATTGCCCCCTGATTTCTACATTAAGTCAGAATCACAAAGAAGGGAAACAAATATACTATAACCAAAAGAAGCCCTGAGAAGATAAACCAGACGAAATGTGGCATGTTTTATGGCATAAAGAGTATTTGTTTAGTGAGCTAGGGAAAAACAGATGATAGTGGTCGTATTAGCTGAGTAGTGGATGGAGCAAAAAGTTGTTCAGCTGACTCTGGTCAACTAAAGTAGGTTTTGAAATGACCTAAACAATGGATGTTGATATTTTTTCCAAAAAGCTCCTTGGCCGGAATAAAATTACAAATTGCAGGGCACAGAAATCCCTGGCTTTGAAAGCTAAGAGCAAAGTGCTGATAAACAAATGGGGAACAGATAAATCCAATGTTAGAGCTAAAGCTTGATAATTTGTTACTGATTGGTTAACTGTTAACAGCTGAGCACTAATTTTACCATAGGATCGGCCATAATGTCCATATACTTTCTAGCCAAACCACACTATGGATAGCAATATCTCCTATCTGAAAAGCATAGTGTAATGACTTGTGAACTAACCTGCCCAGTTTCCACAGCTTGAAGTAGCTTCTCCTCAGTTAGAAAATCACAATAGCCCTATCAAGAATAAGTTCAAAACACATACATAAAAATATTTAGATTTATTGTATGGTACTGATAGATTAGTCACAAAAGGTACTTGAATATCATATTTTTCATTATTTATTTCTAATATATGATGAAAAAACCTAATGATCAAACACATAGATGGAGACCATGTTTTGATGTCCAAAGCAACAAGTAAAAGGAATAGAGGGACCAAGCAGTAACATTTATGCAGCATTGAAATGTAGGAGTTTTTTTTTCCAAACCCTATCGGAATTGAATTGTTTCCAGTGGAATTCCTTCTCAGGTCATGTGGAATTCTTGTGTACCAAAGAAACCTCAATTATTTTTACTTTGCCAGATCATTCAGATAAGTACCTAGAGTTTTGGTATCATGGCAGAGAGTACAACATAATAGAAAATCCATGGATGATTTGCAAATGCACATATGCAGTCATAACTAGCACTGCGAAGAACTAAAACATTAGCTTCATAAATGTTGCTGTTATGACATTCTGTGGTCCGCTTCCCCTGGGGGCATGGAAACTTGTAATTTTCCTTCTGGTGACTTTGTTTAGTCTGTTTTTTTCATTCTTTGATCTCTCTATCCTCTGTTTCTGTAAGCTACATTGTTCCATTTCTGGTAATAGAAATGGGGGCAGTTTGCCCTTGCTCAGAAAAAAAAAAGAATAGCTTCATAAATGGCAAGGATCAAAGAGTTGCTTGGATTGAAGCCAACAGTTGTCAAATTTTCATAGAGCGTTAACCATATTTGGCATGCATTTGGGGAACAACTCACTGCCCATTGAAATCCTATTTAATTTTCTTGCCCAACTTGGTGGAATCATGGGCAAAAAATTCATGACCAAATTTTGGTAAAGCCAAATTATGGCACTGGCCAAATAGAGAAGTTTGATGTTGACAAAACAAGCCAAATATAGTTAATGGAAATAAGAGCATTGAACCTTTAAAGCTTGCATCTGGTGTGCCTAGACACTTCTAAATTGATAAAAGTTTCTTGTCTCCGAAGAATTGAAAAACTAGAGAACTTGAATATATTGGTAAAGCAAAAAATCATAGGCAGTTCTGTTTTCTTCTAAGGAATAAATAGGGTTAGGGAGTCCATGTGCAAATAAAGCTTTACACAAACCTCTATCATCAGTATGGCACTATCGGTCCCAGCCATCACCAAGTCCAACTCTGAGTCATCCATTTGTTCAGTGGTTGGGTTAACAACAAACTGATCATTGATCATACCAACTCTCACTCCAGCAATTGTTTGTTTATTTGGAACTTCAGAGAGTGCCCTGCAGAGAAAGCTTTGTGGTAAATAAGAGCAGCTACAACTACAAGATATAAAAAAAATGCATGCAAGAATAGATTCATATTTTCCGTTAGACCTACATGGCTACACCAGCAGCTGTGATAGCCAAGCTATCGGGGGAATGAATACCATCATAACTGAAAACCTGTAACAATAAATGCATTTTGTTATAAAATTAGTGCAGATCATGATGACATGGAACAATGATCAATTATGCAAATTTGAAACTGATGATACAAGTCATGCATGCAAAAAGGTTGATTAGATTACCCAGGATAGAATCTGAGTTTCGTAGTAGAAGCCCTTGGGCATAGTAGGGCGTAGGGGCCTATCTATCAATCTGCATACTAAAACCTGTGATTAAAGTATGAAAGAAGTCTAATTACCCAAACAAATATGATAACAGAATAGAGCATAAGATCTTATAGTGAACCTCATGGTCTTTTGCCCTTCCTTCTCGTTTAAAGAAACCACCACTGGATTCAGTTTTAAAAATAGAGTAAGACTGAATGAAATACACAAACGGATGATAGCTGACAGCTAAAACTGCATTTGAGAGGTATTTATACCTAGTTCTTCCAGCAGCTGAAAGGCGTTCTTGATAGTGAACTGACATTGGGAAAAAATCAGAAGGATCGTTTGGTGTATCAGCAAGACAGACGGAGGAGTAAACAATCTGCCAGTGCGATTAGAAAACCTATTAGGAATATGAGTCCTCAATGGTGAAACTATAACTCTATAACATCTAAATATGCTACTGCCTTCATTACTTTAATTTGAAGAATAATGATTCAGGAAATAAATTATAGTCTTCAGTCTTAAAAGTGGTGGTTCAGATAGGAAAATTTGATGTCCTGTGGAAAAGGACGCATAAATCGTGAAAACAGCAAAACCAAAATAACCAAGTCAATATAGCATTGCACACAAACTGTAGAACTAAAACTGCAAATGTGTCATGAGTCATGAGTGACTATGCAAAACTATATATATATATATATATATATATATATATATATATCAAACTGCTAATCCACCGCCACTATTCAATAATTTAAAAAGGTAATTGCACTATACATAATATAACTATAACCAATTATAATAAAACAATTGTATGTTCAACTCCTTGTAATAGGAATGATAATCGTTCAAAAATGTGAAAAGAAAAACAGCAGATACAACTTGCTGAGGAGTCTGCCACATGCTCATTGGCCTTTGGGTGTTCAGAGTTCAGACCAGCCATGATAAAAAAAATAAATCATAGACCAATTCTTGTTAACTAGGCATTTCCATAACAGAATCAGCTGATTACTTACTGTTTCGCCATCCGTGACCATTACAGAAGCGCTTGCTTGCCTCCCTATGTGGCCTGTCTCCACCAGTATCTGGGAAACAAAAAAAAAAACAATAGTCTAATTACAACTATTCTCATGCCGTATCAAACAACTGAACCACAGAACCAGATAAGAAGTGTAACCAAGTTTCAGTCAAATAAGCATGACAATCAGCACATTGTTTTTGAAGTTTTACGGCATCCTGAGAAACCACATTTCGAATTGCGCACACAGCGTTGCATTACAGTTCACTGCGCAGAAATGTTGGAGCTCACGATGACGCATTTCAAATTCCAAGCACGCAGGCAGAGCAGTGCGCCTCGATTGGAACAGGAGAAGGTGGGTGGGATTACTCGTGGAGGGCTCACGTACGTGGCGGTCGCCGACGGGAATCTTCGTGGAGAACTTGGTCGGGCCGCCGGAGGTGCTCGCCTCCTCGGTCACCACGGGGGGCGCCTCCTCGCCCACGGAAGCCCTAACCCTAGCCCCCGCCGCTCTCCTTCGCGCGCCACCGCGACGCGAGGTGGAGGCGCTCGCTGCTACGCGGCGGGGGCGGGGGAGCGGGAGCAGCGCCGCGGGGACGCCCCCGACGGCATGGTGGAAGGCGAGTTGCGTGTGCGGCGGCGGCGGGAGGAGGAGGAGGTGGTGGAGCGCGCCGGGGGTCGCGAGCATCTCGAGGCGGCGGCGAGGCGGAGGCGGGAGGGGGAGACGAGAGGGTGGCGACGCTTCGAATGAACCTTATCGCTTTCGTTTTCACGGCTTCGTTTATGTGCGTTTTATAGTGTCTTAGGAGTTTAGTTTCGCCTGTCTCAGGTTTTGAATTTGGACTGGGGTTTTTCAGGGTTTTAGGCTTTTTAAGACGTTGGATATGCTCGTATGGCTAGAGAGACCTAATCTTTTCTCATTAAGATACATATTTTGGTTTCCGTTGGTACATTTTTTAAACTACTAAACGATATGTTTCGTGTAAAAATTTTCTATACAAAAGTTACTTTAAAATATCAAATCTATTTATTTGTCAAGTTTGTAACAATTAAAACTTAATTAATCATGTGCTAATAGTTTTCTTGTTTTACGTGCGCCAACTTAATCTTCGTCTTCATCATTCTCAAACACCAGTACTGAGAAGCTAATCTTGGTTCATTAGGATTTTTAGAATATTTTCATGTAAAATTATTTTAAATACTCGGTACCATTAAGGTAGAGAAAATAAAACAATATGAAAATTATGGTAAGTACTGCTAAGTAGGCATGTGATCAAAGAAGGTGGATAAAGAATGTTTCAATGACATCCCATGAGTAATATTTTAAAAACGGTAGGTTTAGGGTTAACCAGTGACGATCCAATTGTGAGAAGAATTACTGCTACACGTGCTGATGTGCGTGCTGTTTTTCCTCTTAGACATGTGTGACTTTTTCTTCCTTCTTATAAAGTTTTCTCTCAAATTACTTATCCGATTTACAATCCAATTACACCATTGTGTTCGTTGCAATTAAATCTTCACAACAAGATCTTACATGATTATATTACGATAAAAATATTTATATTTGTAAATTACTTTTATTATATACTAAGTTACTTTTATAATATATATAAGTTACTTTTAGATTTGACTAAATTACTTCTATACATTCATAATGCTCTAAGTTGATTATTTTTATTATTGTTCTTAGTTAATTCTATATTTTGTGGACTTTATAAATCTTCTCTACACTTTACTTGCGAATTCACTCTACATAGTTTCTTATTTCAGCTCACTCACAATATAATTATTTCTACTACAGAGAGTTACTCCCCCGTTTCATAATGTAAGTTATTTTAGTATTGCCCACATTTATATAGATGTTAATGAATCTAGATATAGTTCTAAATTAAAGTTACTTTCCTTTTTTATAAGTTACTTCTATATAAATTACTTTTAAGCTTTACTGAATTTACTTTTATATATATAAGAAGTAACTTAGTGAAATCTAGAAGTAATTTAGACGTATCATAAAAGTAATTTGTGATTTGTCATCAAAATATAATCATGTGAGATCTTGTTGTAAAGATTTAATTGTTACGAACACAACGGTATAATCAGATTATAAATCGGATGAGTAATTTAAGAGAAACTTCTCTAAGAAGAAAAAAATACATAGATATTGAGTGTACTAGTAGCTTTTTTTGGATAGAATGGTGTCTCTCTTTAGCACTATCCAGCTATTATTCTCGGTATAGATGCGTCCTTTAAAAACATGCTACTCTCTCAACCCAAAATATAACTCTACCTTTAAACTTTTGTACAAAGTTCAAATTTCAGTGAAAGGCAAATTAATTAATTGATGCATGTAAGAACAAATTTATGAGGTTACAAAACTACTTTTTAGAAGCCCATAGTAGTTCACAATACATATTCATACCGGGAATCCTAATGCACGCATGCGCGATGGCGGAGGCGGAGCAAGTAGCACAGACGAGCGCAGCCTACGTCACCCTCACCAAGCCGCTAATCTCTAGCACTTAGCGCTAATCCCTTTTTTATGGGTAAACTATTTTCTAAAAAAATAAATAATTGATATAAAATTTTTAAATATGAATTGAAAGTTGAACTGAAAGTTTTCAATTTTTATTTGAACACTTTCAAATTTTGAGCTAAAAATTTTTAAAACTGAATTTAAATTTTAAAATTTTAGTTGAAAGTTTCAAGATTTAAAATATATATTTCAGTTGAAAGTTTTCAAAAATAAGTTGGAAGTGAGTTGAAAGTTTTCAAATATGAGTTTAAAGCTTTAAATTTTGAACTGAAAGTTTTAAAAGTTGAGTTCAAAGTTTTCAAATATAAGTTGAAAGTTTAAATAATTGGTAGAGTAAATTTTAAAGTGGAAGTTTTATATTAGAATTAAAAAGGGGAAAAACACAATAATAGTTTGTTTGAAAAAAAGTGTTAACGTTAATAACACGGCCTAATTACGAAAAAAATAGAACTAATAACTTGATGTATGCGAAAGGAAAAAAAAAGGCCCTAGCACTGCACTGCATGTGGAGTCCGAAAACAACATGAGTAGCGCCACCTGGCATCACTCTCTGGAACGCTTGGAGTCCGAAAACAACATGAGTAGCGCCACCTGGCATCACTCTCTGGAACGCCATGTTGGCGTAAATCGGCGTGACGAGCTGTAACTAAATCAAAATTCACAAAACACTATAATCTTAATGGTTTCTGTCGTTATCGATACCTCAGTTTACAGTGACCAACAAAATGCCCGTGCAGTGCGGTGGGTAATAGCGAGGTGGATGAAGTTTGACCTCAATGATTCATCTAAGCACCTAAGTATGATCATAAGTATCGGTGACATGCACAGTTATCTTAAAGATATATTTGTGTTTGGACAACTAGTCCACTCTAATTGTGCGGGGTGTGGATGATTATGCTAATGAATGGTCTCGATGATTGTAGCATTGGAGAAATGGATGGCCGAACGACGCACCTCTGCCTAGAAGGCGATGATGAAATTTTAGGAGACCATTAATTATTTTGAATTACATTTTTATGAAAATCTTATAATCTCTTTTCACAATCGATGATTGTTACAACAGTTCATTGATATAATCACAATGTAATGCTCTGTACCGACTAAACCAAAATAGTGCCAGCCGGACCTAACCATTCTCTTTTTATTTTCTAGAAAACCTTTACGAGTAAAAGTCATTAGCACATAATTAATTAAGTTTTAATTATTATAAACTTAAAATATACATTTATTTGGTATTTTAAATTAACTTTTATATAGGAAGTTTCACGCCAGTTTCCGCGTTTCTTAAAAAATACCGGTCGATTTATTTCCTAGTAAAACACATATCCGGTTTCCATGTTTTTTTTAAAAAAAATACCGGTCGGTCACTATCCTTCCTGCGTACAGTACAAAATAATCTTATTTTTTGAACGGAAAAATTCGTCAAGTGTTGTTGTTCCTTTGCCTAAACGGGACAGCAGCTGATAATTATAGTTACATCGCATTACCACTCAAGAACGCACCAGTGGTCTAGTGGTAGAATAGTACCCTGCCACGGTACAGACCCGGGTTCGATTCCCGGCTGGTGCAATTTTTATTTTTTTCCCTCGTTGTTCTTTGTTTGCTGCAAGTTCTCAGCTCATGATGTTTTTCATTCCAATTTATAGGTGGCTTGTTTAAATTGCAAAGCATTGCAAGCCTGCTCATTTAGTAAGCTGATTATTAATCCTGAATCACGCCAAGTCGATAAATACGCAACAAGAGCAGAGCTTACATTGCTTCAGACTTTTAGCTCCATGTTATGTCGGATTCACGTTTAGTGTATATATTCCCTCCGTTTTAAAATGTTTGACACCGTTGACTTTTTAGCACGTGTTTGACCGTTCGTTGAATAAAATTTAAGTAATTATTTATTCTTTTCATATCATTTGATTTATTGTTAAATATACTTTCATGTACACATATAGTTTTACATATATCACAAATTTTTTTATTCTTTTCATATCATTTGATTTATTGTTAAATATACTTTCATGTACACATATAGTTTTACATATATCACAAATTTTTTTGAATAAGACGAACGGTCAAACACGTGCTAAAAAGTCAACGGTGTTAAACATTTTGAAACGGAGGAAGTATATCCTTCATGTATCCATTCCTATAATCCCATGGTACATAGCCTCTCCATCCATCGGGATGGTTGTGGCGGTGAACGGGGTTGGCGCGACGGATCTATCGGCAATGGGATGTCCTGTGCTAGGGAGGGTGATGGCGGCGATGGGGGGAGACACAGTGGCGTGGTAGCCTTACTGCCCGTCGGGTTCTCTTAGGTTGAGGGCGTCGGTGCTACGGTGTTTATGTGTGCCGACAGTGGTTTAGATGGTAGTTATAGAAGTTTGGTTGTGACAAAAGGGGGCATGTGTAGGCACAATCGTGAAATCCTTACTATAACGACACATCGACACTACTTTTGAGCGTCGAGAACCCTATATTGATGTTGTTAAGGCATTTCCCTCCATCCCTTGCGGGACTCTCTAAGTGAAAACCATATCCAAAATCCCTTGGATACATGGCATAGACGCTTTTTGGCGTTATGTCATCCTGAAGGCGTTTCCTAAGAGATCTTGTTATTGCCTCAATTTGACCAATGCTCTTGTGATGAGTCTCTGACTCTCTGTGCATGACAAGTGGATCTTTTTTTCTTTCTCCTTCATTGTCCCTCTACGACCATTTTGTTCTGGTGATGTCCGGGAGATCACAAGCGATTAGTTGTTTGGAGTTCAGCGAGGGTGGGGGGGGGGGTCGTCGTGGCTCCTCTGTAGGTCTAGCGATGATCTGTCACACTTAGCAACAATTAAATTGGTGTTAGTTCCTTCTTCAACATTGCATTGACGGTGTTTGGCACAGTTATTGGAGTGCTTGTTTCAAGGTTCATTTAATCTCTTTTACCTAAAAAAAGGGTTACTTTAATCTCTTCACGTTTCAAATTATCCAAACAATTATTCAATATTCATCATTTGGCTCAATCTAGTCCTTGGAACTTAAAAAATGGCATGTGGATATGTCACGTCATCCTCACATGATCCCCATTATTGTCATTTGCTTGTTTTCTTTTCTTTAAAAAATCTTTATTTTTCACTATGGTATATATAATGGTATAATGGTCATTTAATTGTTGACCTTGCATGTGAGGATGGTATGACATGCACACTTGATTTTTTTATGGGGACAAGTACTATATTAAGCTAAAAGGTAAATTTAATTAGAGATTTGTTTAAATAATTTAAGACTAAAATGATCTTGGAGTCAAACTTTAAGATAAGATTTTATCCCTCATTCTAAAATAAATTAACATATTATAGAAATAGATATATCTTAGTAGTATAAATTTAGATAGATATTTTATTTAAATTTATAATATTAAAATATGTCATATCATATACTAGATTAAATTATTTTAAGATGAAAGAAATACCTCCGAAGGCTAGTCTTATATTAATTTTTCTCCGTATAAGATAGACGATCCTAACTCATACAGTCGTACTACAACCGTATCATACTTTCTGCGTTTTAAAATATCGTTACCTAAATTTCAATTGGACACTTTCTAGAAGCCAAAAAAATATTTGTATCCGATGTCACCCTCTAGAGGAGCAGCGGAAGGTTCGCAGCCCGTTCGTGTCGTGTGCACGCTGTTCGTATCCGTATCATATGAGCTCAAGATTTTATTTATTTTTTAAGGAACATTTTATTTATTTATTTAACTAAATGAAGATATTTTTATTTATTCACGTGCTCCAACCTTCCGTCTGTACAGTAGCTATAATAAAAGGAGTTTCCCTTTCCCAATCTGGACGCACGAATCCAGTGACACACAGAGCTAGCTAGCGATGGCGGCCGGAGCCGGAGGAGACGGCGGCGGCGAGCTGAAGCTTCTGGGGACGTGGGCGAGCCCGTTCGTGCAGCGGGTGCGCCTCGCGCTGAACCTCAAGGGCCTCGCGTACGAGTTCATCGAGGAGGAGATCGGCGGCGGCAAGAGCGAGCTCCTCCTCGCCTCCAACCCCGTCCACAAGAAGGTCCCCGTCCTCCTCCACCGCAGCAACCCCATCTGCGAGTCCCAGGTCATCGTCCAGTACCTCGACGACGCCTTCCCCGGCGGCGCCGCCGGCGGCGACCTCCTCCCCTCCGACCCCCACGCCCGCGCCGTCGCCCGATTCTGGGCGGCGTACATCGACGCCGAGTTCTTCGCGCCGTGGAACAGGTCGTTCTACACGGCGTCGGAGGAGGAGAAGACGGCGGAGATGGGGAGGGCGGCGGCGGCGCTGGCGACGATCGAGCGCGCGTTCGCGGAGCTGTCGAGGGGGAAGGGGTTCTTCTCCGGCGAGGACAGGCCGGGGTTCGTCGACGTGGTGCTCGGCGGGTTCGTGGGCTCGATGCGCGCGTACGGCACGGCGGTCGGCGTGGAGGTGCTCGACGCCGGGCGCACCCCGCTGCTGGTGGCGTGGGCGGAGCGCGTCGCGGCGCTCGACGCCGCCAGGGGCGTCATCCCCGACGTCGAACGCGTCGTCGAGCTCTCGCGCTACGCGAGGAAGAAGTAGACACGGTAACGATTTGTGTTGTCCTGTGGTGTTTGTATCGTCAAAATAAATGTGGCACAAAGGTTGTCATCATTAGTGAGCATTCTTGCCGGTTTCTTCTCCAGTTTAAGTGTCTGTGTTGCTTTTGTTTGGACTGCGGGGATGTTAGAATATATGGTAGTTAGAGTTATATTAGAATGGACTGATTTGTGTGGACTTCTTTCATATCTGTAATTCTTTCTTATCTTCTCCCCATGTACTCCTATATATCGGCCCCTGAGGCTCAATATAATGGGTCCAATATTCATAGTATTCTCTCTCCCTATATCCAACAGTATCGTCAAAATAAATGTGGCATGCTTTTTTAAGTTTTCAACGATTTGGCCAAATCGCAAGGAATTTTCTCACGAAATAAGCATGGTTTGTCAACAAAAACGCCCGGAATTCAACCAGAAGCAGAGTACTCCTCGACATCTTTATTTATTTATTTATTATTTTTGGTTCATGATCCTGTCGACATCAACAAGAACAGATACTATGAGATGAGCAGAAGCAGGGGATGCGCCATGTTGGGGTTGTCTCCGAGATTTTTCCTCGCACATGCAGCCACATGCTCGTGGTCGTGGGTCGTGGCCTCGCGGTCTCAGCCTGCCGTGCATAGTTGCAAATATACAGGGAGTACGAAATGCCCATCGAAAGAGCTACTCGCTGCCTGCATGCATCTGATCATTTATGGGCGTGTTTGGTTGACTGCATCGTATCTGCCTCGCACGCATAGATATCGGCTGTGTTTAGATCAGTCCTTTTTCATCACATCAACTTATCATATACACACAATTTTTCAGTCGCATCATCTTCAATTTCAATCAAAACCCAAACTTTGCCATCAACTAAACACAGCCATCGTCAACAGGTGTTTATGGTTGCCTGCATCGCCGCCGAGGCAGATCTTACTTATGAAAAACAACCTCTCGAGTCAGACCCATTGGAAACACTCGAATCAAGAATCGCTCTTCATCTCGGCTGAGCGCGTGCAGAGGCGGGGATGCGTGGATCCAAGCGTGTGACGGGCAGATGCAAGAGAGCGAGAGGGGTCAAGAATCCGGTCACCTTTCCTCTCCCATTTGCACAAGCCTCTTCTTTCTTCTCTGTTGCCCTCCGGTTCGCCTCCAGAAGCTTGGCCGGCCCCGGCAGACCCACATTTATCATCGCCATGACGCTATTCCTTTATGAAACTCATGCACGTGTCGACGGTGTGCCACCGTTTCGCTCATCACTTCCACGACTTTGGGCCGCATTGAAGGAGCGATAGGGCTTCCCGTCCTATTACCTAGCCCGGCCACATTACCTCTTCCCTAGACACTCGATTTGGGGAGGAAATTACGGAGCCATCGTTTCGAAACGACATATTTGCTAATGAAAATTAATTTGTGAATAAAACTTTTATATACGTATTCTTAGCGATCTAAAAGTAAAGGTTGCAAAAAAAAACTTCGATGAGAAAATTTCAAATCAACTCCAAACTTAAGGTTGAAAATTTAAATTTTGGCTGATAAGCATAAGCATAAATAAAAAGATGAGGCCCTTGGTGTCTGATCTCACGGGAGAGAATCGTTGCCCCCATCATCACACCTCCACCCGAGATCGTAGCACATCAAATTAAGACAGCGCATGCGCCAACAGACCCAACACCCCCTAAATTAAGACAGAGTCCATGTGCCATAAGTATACCGGCCGCCATGCAGCGTGAGCGAGGCTAAACGGAGGCCCGTCTTCGCGAGCTCGAGGATGATGGTGCGTAGAAGGGAGATGTGATGCGAGGAGATTGAGGAGTGAGGAATGGAGGAGCAACAATGGTGGCTGTGAAGGCCAATTTACTCCCTCCGTCCCAAAATATAAGATATTGTATTCCATTCAATCAAAATACCTTATATTTTGGGACAAAGGAAATAGATCGTTATGTTTTGTATTTGTATTTATGTTGACGTTTTGTATTTGTATTTATGTTGACGTTTTAACCGTGTTTGTGCCGGAGTGAAGTGTTTCAACTAAAATCTAAAGGCCTCATCTTTTCGCTTATGCTTTTCAACCAAGATTAAATTTCAACCTTAAATTTGAAGTTAATTTTGGGTTTTGTCATCGAAGTTTATTTTTCAGCCTTTGTTTTTGATAGTTAAGAACACGTATATAAAAATTTTATTTATAAATTACTTTTGATTTACAAATATGTTGTTTGGTTTATTCCACGAATAAACGAAACGATAGGGCGTAACTGTGTATCATATTTTAAAATATGAGCTTATGAATGCTTTTTCAGTAATTGTAACTCAACATTTCATATGTGGGACTGGGAGTAAAATATCTGTTAGTGTTTCCATTTTTTTCATTTACTTTTTTTTAGTGCACTTCACCTCCTAAGATATTTCATCCATCACCCATGTGTCTGCTACTCTTTTCATTCTAAAATATAAATGATTTTGGATGGATATAATATATTCTAGTATTGGGGACGGATGGAGTATGTTGCTTCTTACTTTCTTGTTTCTAATTGAATGTCAACGATTTTTTTATACGACAAGTGCACCTGTTGTATGCCTGAACTAACTTTAACTTTACAAAAGAATACATGAAAAAGCAGGGAGCCAACAAGTACAACGGATCGGACGGTTGCACATTAACGGAATTGTTATTTACTTGATTAAACATACGGCATAAGCAAAGCAGCAAGGCACCAGTGGTCTAGTGGTAGAATAGTACCCTGCCACGGTACAGACCCGGGTTCGTTTCCCGGCTGGTGCAATGATTTGTTATTTTGGTCTTCATTTTTCCTTCTGCAAGTTCAATAATCTTTCAAGTATCATCGCATCCATAATTTAACAACATACTACTCTCGTTACTCACCAAGAAGTTTTTTTTGTGTTTTTTGGTCTTCATTTTTTCTGCTGCAAGTTCAACAATGTTTCAATATCAAATCCATAATTATTAAACAACTTACTACTCTCGTTACTCACCAAGAAGTTCTTTCAGATACTCGTACGTACTCCATAAGGCTGTTCAGTTGTTGCACCGTTGCTGTTAGTACTTGTTTGCACACGAGTACGCGACCGGCGTTCTCTGTTGAAAATCACGTCAGAAAACGAACCTGAAACATGCCGGCAAATATGTACTCCCTCCGTCCTATAATTTAAGGGATTTTAGAGGGATGTAATACTTCCTAGGACTATGAATTTGGACATAGAGCCTGCTCAGATTCGTAGTGTTAGAAAGTGTCACACCCTCCAAGCTCCCTTATATTATAGGATGGAGGGAGTACTTGCATACTCTATCTGTCCCACAAAAACCAATATAATATCGAACTTGACACATCTTAATACTACCTTCGTCTCCTAATATAAGGGATTTTGACATTTTGCTTGCACTGTTTGACCACCCGTCTTATTTAAAAATTTTGTGCAAATATAAAAAATAAAAAGTTGTGCTTAAAGTACTTTGGATAATAAAGTAAGTCACAAATAAAATAAATAATAATTTCAAATTTTTTTGAATAAGATGGGAATTTTGTGCAAATATAAAAAATAAAAAGTTGTGCTTAAAGTACTTTGGATAATAAAGTAAGTCACAAATAAAATAAATAATAATTTCAAATTTTTTTTGAATAAGACGGGTTGTCAAACAGTGCAAGCAAAATGTCAAAATCCCTTATATTAGGGGACGGAGGGAGTACTATGAATCAAGATTGAGTCACATTCAAAATCTAGAATTTGTCCCTGCAAAAAAAATCTAGAATTTGTCACATTTTATACTAATTTGTTTTTTTTAAGGTACACCAAGGGAATACGAAAGAAACTCTGAATTTTAGTAGCAGTAGCAGAGGACCTGTCTAGATCGTCGCCAAAATATCTATTGAATGCGTAGCTGTAGCAGTAGCAAAATTGTCAAATTTTGTTAGAATGGATCAAATGTGTTGTTGTGAAAAAATTTTAGGTATTAGCAATGTTTGATAATAAACTAAATGTATCGACATATTTATAATTCTTATAAAAAAATAGTATGATTTAAAATAGCATTAATCTAAACGAGATCTTAGGGCTAATCTTAGGTTATCCATAATGTAGTTAAAAAATAGTCCATAAGCAATATACTATTTCATTCAACCACCTAGTAACATTATAGAACTAGTCCATATAAAAAAAATTACAAAAGCTACCCATAAACATATGGGCTGCCTATAGAGGATAAAATATATTATTTATCTCTACTTCTTCTCTTCTGCTAATACTATTTACTATCTATATACACTGTGAATGTTATAATAGTTAATAGTTAAAGTCCATATATATAGGTCCTATTTATATGGATTACTTTTGCTATATACTACCTCCATATTTTAATGTATGACGTCGTTGACTTTTTGTCTAACGTTTGACCATTCGTCTTATTCAAAAAATTTATGTAATTGTCATTTATTTTATTGTGACTTGATTCATTATCAAATGTTCTTTAAGCATGACATAAATATTTTTATATTTGTACAAAATTTTTGAATGAAACGAATGGTTAAATGTTGGTCAAAAAGTCAACGACGTTATACATTAAATTAAATTATGGAGGGGTAATATATTTTGTTGCCCTTAGATGGTACTACGTATTACAGTATATACCCAGGTGCAAAACGTCACCTGCTATTGCTGGCATAAACACTGTAGTCAACAAAGCAGCTGACGCTGACACGCACGCGCAGCTCTGGATTGGGTACACAAAGCGATGTCTCGAGAAATTAATCTCAGGTTGTGGTTCTTTTGCCGTCGCTGCTTTTTTAAGATAATGTAATAAAATTTCGGTCTTGGCTCAATAAATTAAAATAAAATATTAAAAAAATTACTTAATAATAAGCACTCACATGAAGCAAGCACAATCCAATATGCATAAATACAGACAAATACCCTACAATTATTAAATCCTATTTGCTTGCTTGGTTGGAGCTTTTGGACCTTTCCCCTCGTGTGAAACACTTGCTAAAAGGAGGATGAGTTGATTATTATCAGGACATCGTGCGTAATGCGTTACCGACACCAACGGCTACGTACCAGCAGAACTAGTATTTGGAGATAAAACGTGTGTGAAAAAGTGAAAACAACTTATTTTGGTAAGAAAAATCTTTTATTTATTTTGAATTTTGATACGGTTTGACGAACTAGCCTACGCCTTCAAGAGTCGAATGATGCAACATTCTTGCCTCATTTCGACGCTCATATCACAAATATTTCTTTAGAGTATTACTTTCTCCGTTTCACAATATAAGTCATTTTAGCATTTCATCAATATGAATGTGGGAAATGCTAGAATGACTTACATTGTAAAACGGAGGGAGTACTATCTATTTTATTCAATAGAGCAGAAGGTTGCATGACACATATGAATATGATCAGTAGGAGTATCTTTGCCTTGTTCACATGGCCTACTCCTACTGAATACCAAATCGTTAGCAATTCTAGCAAACAAACGCTCTAAATCTCTCTTCAAAAGAAAAAATAAAACCTCCAAAAGCACCTTTTTGGCCTCTCCTCCATTCCAGCAACCGTTCTTGTCAAATGTTCACCAAAGTCCAAATGATCCAATCGCCCTATTTCCGGCAGTAAAAGAACCTGACGCCAGCTAATTTGGAAAATTTCACCAATATGTGGGCCCCACTTCCACGTCACCCCTCACTAGAAAAATGCCCGCACACGCGCGTCCTCCACCATACCACGATACACTCCACTCCTACTCTTTTCTTTTCAAGTTTTTGAATGCTCCGCTTGCTCTCGCCTCGTCTCCTCCTCGATTCTCGTGTCGCTGCTGCTGCTGCTGCTGCTGTTGAGCAGAGCAATCTCTCGCTCGTCTGCTTGGTGTTTGCTCGATATTGAGATCGAATAGGAAGTAGAGTTAGAGCGAGTGAAGTGATTGCTCCTTTCATTGATGGCGAGCGAGCTACCTGTGGTTAGTTTCCAGCTTTTCTGAGCTGTACTGTTGGTGTGGGTGTGGTCAATCCGTGAAAAATCCCCAAAATCCTGTAAAGTTTCATCCCGAATTCGTTCCAGAAATCCATCCATTTCTTGGATTTGATCTTTGTGGAATCGAATCATCAATCCAATCTCGTTGGGTCTTCACGGCTCCGATTGGGGATTTAGCGGAGGTGTGTGTTCGAGTGGTAGCAATGGCGAGGTTGGTGGTGGTGATTGTGGCGGTGGCCATGGCGGCGTGGTGGGCGGTGGCGGCGGTGGAGGGGTTGGGGATAAACTGGGGGACGCAGGCGACGCACCCGCTGCCGCCCAAGGCGGTGGTGCAGCTGCTCAAGGACAACGGGATCGCCAAGGTGAAGCTGTTCGACACCGACTTCGCCGCCATGAGCGCGCTCGCCGGGAGCGGCGTCGAGGTGATGGTCGCCATCCCCAACAAGGACCTCGCCACCATGGCCAGCGACTACGGCAACGCCAAGGACTGGGTCAAGAAGAACGTCAAGCGCTTCGACTTCGACGGCGGCGTCACCATCAAGTGAGTCCTCTCCTCCTCGCCGCCGCCGCCATCGCCATGGCCACCTACCTCTATCTAACCAAATTATCCATGATCATATTTGATTAGATCTTCAATTCTTGCGTCTTTTAGCAAAATTTTAGTTTCTTTTTCAACTTGCAAAACATGGAATTGTGGTTTTGGGATGAGGATTTGTGTGGATCATTGATGGATGGATAGAATCATGGAGGGGGAGGCAGAGGACAGTGGAGGAGGTTGGTGGCGATGGCACATTGGCACGTTTGGTTGGTCGTGCAAGCCACAGATAATGTCGTTGTTGAATGGCCCATGTTTGCTGCAGCATGGATAACGATATGGTGCTTGTCAATGTTTGACAACGAGTTTAATTTATACCTAAACAGGGTATCAACCAAATTAAAAATTGGTTTTGGGGGGGACCGGTTCTATCTATGGTGTGGACACATGGGAATATTACTTGTTCTTGTTCTCCCATTGGCTTTGAAAAGACATAAGAGAACGGGAGCAATTATTCAGCATTGTTATCCATGCATATCCTACTTCCTAACCTGATTGATTGGTATATGGGTGGTTGCTAGTAAGTGCTAACCATATATGAGAGATTTTTTGTTATTTATTTCTGAAAGTAAATGTCGAAGTTGTGAGTTTTGGTAGGATAATGCTTAGGCAGTGAGAGTAAATATAAAGCTACCACGGGGGACCAAAATGCTACTCATGTCTAGATTTATTAACATATATATATGAACGTGGACAATACTAGAAAGTTTTATTATATGAAACGGAGGAAGTAACTCTTTTTGGATGATATCTCATACTTCTTTAAACTCCTTTTGTGTGTGAGAGATAATACTCTACATTGTTAAGGCAAAGCTAAATATTTCACACTGTTCCTCATACAAATAGAAAATTACACTGTTTGATTCTCAACACAAAAAGCAAAAAGAAAAGAAGAACTAATTCACTGATTTGTTAGCTAGCTCCCTGTTCAGTAACCAGTTGCTTCTGCATCTGAATTTCTCAATTAGCAGTGACTTTCAAACAAGAATTAACTGTACATTGTACTACTGATTCGCTCACTGCATTCGTCAAAACATGCTCCAGTGCAAATTCAGAACAGAACAACAGGGTTTTCTTCAGTTTTTACATGCTTTGCCAAATTACCATTTCACCATTTGCCAGTAAAAACACAGAACTGATAAAGCAGCTTCTTCTTCTTTCAGGTATGTGGCCGTTGGCAATGAGCCCTTCTTGAAAGCATATAATGGTTCGTTCATCAACATCACATTGCCGGCGCTGCAGAACGTCCAGAACGCGCTGAACGACGCCGGCATTGGCGACCGGATCAAGGCCACCGTCCCTCTCAACGCCGACGTGTACGAATCCACGGTGCCGTCCGCCGGCCGCTTCCGCCCCGAGATCGCCGGCCTGATGACGGACATCGTCAAGTTCCTGGCCAAGAACAACGCGCCCTTCACCGTCAACATCTACCCCTTCCTCAGCCTGTACCTGGACGAACACTTCCCGATCAACTTCGCCTTCTTCGACGGCGGCTCAACGCCGGTGAACGACGGCGGCATCATGTACACCAACGTGTTCGACGCCAACTTCGACACGCTGGTTGCCGCGCTCAAGGCCGTCGGGCACGGCGACATGCCGATCATCGTCGGCGAGGTCGGGTGGCCGACGGACGGCGACAAGAACGCCAGGGTGGACCTCGCGCAGCGGTTCTACGCCGGGCTGCTCAAGCGGCTCGCCGCTAACGTCGGCACACCGGCGCGGCCGAACCAGTACATCGAGATGTACCTGTTCGGGCTGGTCGACGAGGACATGAAGAGCGTCGCGCCGGGCAGCTTCGAGCGCCACTGGGGCGTCCTCCGGTACGACGGCCAGCCCAAGTTCGCCATGGACCTCGCCGGGCAGGGCCGGAACACGATGCTGGTGCCGGCCAAGGGCATCGAGTACCTACCCAAGACGTGGTGCGTCATCAACACCAATGCCAAGGACGTGTCCAAGCTCGGCGACAACATCAACTTCGCCTGCACGTACGCCGACTGCACGCCGCTCGGCTTCGGCTCGTCGTGCAACGGCATGGACACCAATGGCAACGCGTCCTACGCCTTCAACGCCTACTTCCAGGCGCAGAGCCAGAAGGAGGAGGCTTGCAATTTCCAGGGCCTCGCCGTGCCCACCGAGACCGACCCCACCACCGCGCAATGCAACTTCACAATACAGATCAAGTCGTCGGCGGCGGCGGCGGCGGCGGCGCCGGTGGCCGCCGGCGTGGTCGTGGCGGCGCTGGCACAGCTCCTGCTTCTGTGGTAGCATTGAGATCAGTGTGCATTGTTGATTTGTTGCATTCTTTGGAGATTTTACCCTTTGGATTAGAAGCCTGTGATGTGATTCAGGTGCTTTTTATTTGAAGAAATAGAGGAGGTGGTTAATTTGTTGTGTAATTAGTTGATTTGAGTACAGTTTATCTGATGACATTAGCTTAAATTGGTGCTTTGTTTTTTTTTTTGCTCATATCCGTCCAATGTCCAATGTCGATTATCTAATATTCAGAAAGTTCATCTGACAGGGGAAAAAAACTACGCTTTATTCTCTCAAAATAAATTAATCATTGTACTGCAATCATTTTATCAGGCATCAAATTAATACTTACATTACCTCTAAGTGATCAAGTGAAAAATGCAAGAATTTCATAAGGAATATTTCAATTTCTTGTAGATATTACCAAAATATCACCAAACAAGACTTTCGAATACAAAATATTATGTACTACAAAAATATGAGTTATTTGCAATTGCTGTACTCCAACTTCACATATAATGTTGCTAAAATATAATCGAAAATTCGCATTGGTGGCTTTACTTGTGAATCCAGGGTGGCAATGGCAACTCCAACCTGGACAAGCGGGAGAGCCGTCCACCCCTGGGCCATGGGCCGAGGCCCACGTGCTTACAGCGTGGTGGGCCCACGACCAAGGCCATGGGCCAGGCCTCTTACGCGGATCCAAGCCCAACCCGATATCAGTGCAAACCCGCTACGACGCCTACAAATACAGGAGCTCCAAACCCTTGCCTTCCATCTCCGCGCCGCCGCCGCCATGGCAATGAACCCTAGTAGCTGAGCTGATTCGCCCATTGCTAGATCTGGATTTGTGATGCGTTTTCTCTTTTCTTTGTTTGATTCTTCGGTGATGTTGCGATTTGTTTGTGTTTTTATCTTTTTTTGGTAGGATTGGATTGGTTGGCTAAGCCTAACATTGCAATCGTTCGCTGCTAATCTCGAGTGCGGCGATCGATCTATCCTTAGGCGAGATCGAAACAGAGGGGAGGACGCTTTCCTAGTTGTCCCCGCCTGCTTTTTAAGCTCCGGCTGTCCTGTTTAATCCCAGGATTTGCCGGTGACAAAGCAGGTAAATTTCCCCCCATTTGATTTAGTATTTTTGATACTTTTCCCCTCCTGGCGTAGTAGGTGTTTTTGTTGTTGATTTATCTCAACAGTTGGCATGGTTGGGGGTGATGAAGAAAATCGTTCGGATTCCCATTGATTTCTAATCGAAATGTGATCTTTAAACCAGCTACTTCTGACTCAAAAATCATGCCAATGGAAAGTATTTTCTCTTTTTTATTTGAAAAAAATGAGTGTTTTTATTTCTCTTTTTCTTTTGTCAGGGCCCGTGATGTGAGAAAAATATTTGCTACTCTTGATGGGACAAGAGTTCCATCTGATGATCATAACCACCAAGATCTCTGAAGCCTTAATAATCGTCATGATTTATTTCGGTTTTTCTGCTTTTCTGAGCTGTATTTTGTTGTTCAAGTTGCATATCCGAAATACTGGAATTCATGTCCCAGCTCATTTACTAAACAGTGAACACGCACTAAATTACTGGATCTACGAACTCTGAAATATATATCTTTCTTGGCAATGCGAGATCTGTAGAGCTTGAGGATACATCAGGCCTGCTATAAATACACAAGTGGCTGACATGGCACAATCTTGATGGTTTCCTCCTTTGTTGATTTACCAGTTGGCATGGTTGAGGATGAAGAAGAAAATCAGACGGATTCCCATTGATTTCAAATCGAAATGTGATCTTTAACCAGCTACTTCCGACTCAAATTCATGCCATTGGATACAAGTCTCTTTTCCTCTTGTTTTTGAAAAAAAAGTCTTCATGTGTTTTTTTGTGTTTGCTTTGCTGAGGACCAGGGATGTGAGAAAAATATTTGCTACTCTTGATGAGGCATTGAGTCCCATCTGATGATCATTAACCACCAAGATCTCTGAGGCCTTGTTCTAGCCGTCACTGTTTATTTCGAGCTTTCTGCTTCTCTGGTTTTGACTTTTGTGTGTGCAAGCCGCATAACATAAACTTGGAAGGCAGGGCAATTCAGTTCAGTACTAGCTAAACTGCAAACGTGCTCTGTTAAAAATGATAGAATTGCTCGTATGATCATGCGTTATAGTTGACTTTACTATTATAATAAACTGAAATGTACTATCCAATTATGAACAGCAAATGAACAAATATCAAGTAACTCTCAATGTGTAATTGTGCAACGTTAGATATGAATCTCTCTGATTGTGCCATGAGCTCAGGATGCATCTGGGCATGGAAGAATGAACAGTTGCTGACAGTATGCACAAGACATGGCATCCCCTAGGACCTAGGGGGCATTGGAGGACTGAACTTTGGGTTCAATACCAAGATGCAAATTCTTGTGTCTTAACTCTTAACCGTGTAAATATATCGCTTATGATTTGATTATGTATCAGAACAATTTGTAAAGTCCATTATACGAAAATTGCGGAACATGGTTATCATAAAAAGGGTGGATTCCTAAATTCTGTTACAAAGTTTACTTGCTTGAAAAGTATTTTCCATGTATACAAGAGGTGCTTTTTTGCTTGTTACCATATATTTTTGGATCCTGCTTACAAGTAATTGTTTGTTCTGCAAATAGCTTGTTACCATATATTTTTGGATCCTGCTTACAAGTAATTGTTTGTTCTGCAAATATGTGAGCTCGCATTGCTACTGAAGCGTTAGACTATGGGCTCGCATAGGCATGGGAACAAGAACCCATCAGTTAGCTCATGGAAGCAATCAAAAAACAATTAATGATAACTTTTTCTTTTTTACAATTATACGATTGATGCATGTACACACATTCTAAGAAATAAAAATTAGTGACATATCACTAATCTTACAATATTATTGTTAAAATCCATCTGCATGTACATAAAATTCACTAGTGCTTCCCCAAAACTTTTATATTTGTACATAATACATGGTATAAAAATAAGTTTGGAAAACATACTATAATTAGAAAATCATTTACTCTCTTTTTTTTTGTGCTGTGGCTGATAAGCCAAGCAACAACTAGCAATGTTGCTTACGATAGTCTTCGTCAGGGATGGAAGCAACCCAATTACTTAGAGTTCCAGTGATAGTCGTATATTGCAAAAATCAAGAAGGGGTCAATATCGATTGCCCCTCATACTGTCCCTTTTATGTGCAAGATTTGTGACTGTTGAGATACTGTTCATTTTTTTTGTTTGTTTGCCATGGCTGTGACCTGCGACAGCATTCGTGAAAAATCTATTACAACACAGTACGCTCATCTTTGTTTCTTGCCCAAAGTAAGGTAGATACCATCTTACCACTAGGTTAATCCATCCACCTGACCAGTGTCAGCTGCCCATTGGGTGGGCATCTATTTTGGTCGATTCAGATGTCATGTTTCTTTGGGATGTCATTTAGCCACTGAAGAACTCTTCAACTACACTGCTCATAGCCATCAACAAACTTTTTGCATGAGTTTGACAGCATGAGAGAATATTTTCTTTTATGAGACCGATGATAACAATTTCACATGACATGTGTGACAAGTACCTTGCAAAAAAATCAGACTAGGCATTTCAGTGCTTATCTTGTACTCCTATACAACTTCATAAGCATACTTAGCAATAGATAATTCCCTAGTGCAACATTCAGCACACAAGTGATGATAACATAAAAACAGGTGACCTGTCAATACCATTTGGGACCTCATATACAATCCTATCTTATCATCTTGGACAACTGCCCATGGGCTCATCAACTTTCAGAAGAAGCGATATGAAACCACGGCATCTTTTCCAGGATAGCACAAGCCGCCATCCTTTCAATACCACTATCAAATAGTATAAAAATCCTGAATGGAACTTCCAGGAAATAGGCTGCAGTAGCAAGGTTTCATCACCTCTAATTAATCTTTTTAACATGCAACAAACCACTCGTTAAGATCAAGCCATCAACAAGGAATCATCATCACAAAATTCTTGTGAGTCAAAACGAAGGATGAAAATAGAGCATCAAGGCTGTAACAATAAGCAATAAGATGGAAATATAGTTAAGAATATAATATATATTTACATTATTATTCCTTAATTGCCAGAGAATGAAACCATGATAAGGAGGAAGGATAGACACAATTGGGACTCCTAGCACACTAACCCAGACCTGAAGGAACCTACTGGCTGAAGTAAACTTGAAGACTCGGTTGCCACCATGAATAGAGATTAAATGGCCCTTCCATAACCTTCAATCAGATCTTGTTGATCTTCTCGGCTATCACAACAGGATTCTGCTTGGCAATCTGATCCCGGCCGGCCTTCTTGTAGTCGAAGGTGCAGTCGTGAGCTTCGGTATAACGGTGTGTTGAGCAGAAGGTACCTCCGCATCGGCACTGGAAGCCAGTCAGACCAACCTTCTTACGGCATGACAGGCATCGGTTGCTGGGTGGCTTTGGAGGCTCCTGTGCCGCTTGCTTATCCTCTACAGCTGCGGCAGGAACTTCATCTGGCTTTGCTGGCTCCAATGGTGTCTTCGAAGACGATGCTGGCGTAAATGCCTTCTTCTCCACTACTGGGGCAGCCATTGTCGTGACCTTCACAAAGTCCCTGTAGCACTTCGAACACATATTGTTCGTCATGCTACTGCCGAAGAAGCCACAGTTGTTTACACACAATATTGGGGCCTCCGGTGTGTGGACAGTCTCCTCAGACTCATTTTTCCAGCTTTCTTGTGCCATTGCTACCGGCAGGCTGTACGTGCAAAACAAATTATGAGTAAATGTGGATGAAAATTACATTTTTAGAATAGGAAATAAGTAAAACACCATATGCAAGAAAACAGGCTGCAAATGGGTGGGGGAACTAGGGATCGGTATCATGAAAAGGATCTGTACCATTTTCAGTTTCATTTAATTAGGTGATATAATCTGTTTTTTATTGTTTCAGCTCTCAAATTAATTTGCAAAAGATATAGCATGTATCAGCATTGCGCAGTAGGACAGCCAAATGTGTCACTGGATACATCCCAGGTTAACAAAATTCTAATAAATATTGTTCTAGCCAACCAAATTCAAGAGACCATCAAACCAGGGAATTGATAAAATTTCATAATTTCATACAGCTAAGGATTGTGTTCGCAAGCAGATGGAGATGGCAATGTTAGGTAGCCGATTTCAAACATTGAAAAACAGCAGGTTATATGATTCTCCCGAGAGGCTATGTCCTAGTATTATAGTAGTATCCCTCCAAAAGCTGAGCAATTCTTAAAACACTACAATGGGAAACACATAGAAACCAACGGTCTTCTCTGCTTTTGATTCCTGCAGAGCAAAATCAGCAGTGACGAAATACCTGAAACTCCGCGCTACAATCGTTCTGCTATATGAGCAGATCATTAGGCAGAACCAATGTTCTTCTACCTCATCGTTCGTCCATCTATATTGCTCACAGCCTCAGACAAATCATAGACTTTGCTGGATTGTTCACTCCACGATAACTTATGCAAACCGCGGAAGCAACCTACGTCCTCAATTCATCCCATCCGGATGTGCCTACAATCCAAGAAACCTCTCTCTAGCTTCCCGCAATCCCTAATATCCAAAAGGCGGCTGACCTTTTCTTCTTTTTTTTTTTTACAGGCTTATCAAGAAATCCCATGGCGCTATCCCCCCAGAATATAATCAATCGCTGATTTGCCATGCACGGCAAGAAAGGTTGATCCCTTTAATCCTTTATCAATCTCCGCGCAAAGGCAAAGCACACAGAAACCGTGTATCAATCGTTGGCGTAGCTTCCCTCACCTCTCATGGAGGTTCACACGATTGAGATAAGGCTGGGAGCAACATGCCACATCCAATTTTCCTCATAAGCGAGAGAATTCTATGTCTCCCACTCCTCCCTATGCTGATTGGCTCAAAAAGTAAAAAAAAAAAAATCATCTCCCCTACATGACTACATCTTAGAATCAAATCAAATCGCAGCAAATTTGGAAGCAATCAAATCACAGCAAAATCGATAACCATAAGGTCAACCTCCGAACACACAATCAAATCGCAAGCAAGCAACCCCTATCAACAACAACAACAACAATCACAGATCCAACCACACCCATCCCGATCTCCCAATAACCCCCTCCCCCCAAAAAAACCCCCAAAAAAATAAAAAAAATCAAGCCAACCACCCGACGAACCCGCGGTGGCGGATGGCTCAGATCGGCCACCGCCACCGCCACCGCCACCGCCGATCGGATCTGGGGGAAGAAGATGAACGAGGAGAGGGGCGCACCAACCTGCGAGGCGAGAAGGGCACGGGACTTTTCCTCACCGGAGGATTCTCTCTCTCTCTCTCTATCTCGCTTTCTCTCTCTCTTCGCGTTTTTTTGGGGGGGACGACGACGAGGCTGAGGGAGGGGAAGGTGGAGGAGGACGACGACGCGGTTGGTTTATTTTTGCGTGGCCGCTTAAATAAAGGGGCACATGCCGCCACGCCTTCCAAATATCCACATGGCACTTTCTTTAATAATCCCGCTCCATAATCTCGCAGGGTTCGGATTAATTTAATTAAATCAATTAATTAATAAGTAATTAGACGTGATTCTGGAGTCGTGTGGATCACACGAGACGAGGGCGCCGCGTCGACGTGTCACTGCGGGTGGGGCCCAGGTGTCAGTGCCCGCGGTGGGAACGCGGTTGCGAGCCGTTGCGGCGGATTGGGTGTCCGGGTTTCGGCGTGGGAACGGGTCCACAGAGGAGGAGCCCGTCGTGCGTGGTGGGGCCCACATGTCGGTGGAGGGATTTTTTGTTTTATTTTTGGAATTTTTTTGGTGGGGGGAGGAACCGCAGGGCCCACATCGAACTGTAGCGAGCTTTACACCGTGTAATTGGATACTACAGTATTTTAGATTTTGTTTTTCTGAGGGGACAGTATTTTAGATCTTTTTCTTGGGTAGGGTTATAGTGCTTTGATGTACTCTTCCAACAGTTCAATAGTTTATTGTCTCCAGGACTTTTTACCCCATTGATTTTTTTTAAGGATTATGTATACTCACTTCATTGGTCCACAATGGGTCTTTCTTTATTAACATATAGATTTTATATCAATTTGTATAAATATATTTTTAAATTGCTAAATGGTATTTTCATATGAAAACTTTATTTATAGAAGTTGTTTTAAAATACCAAATTAATTTATTTCTCAAGTTCATAGTAATAAAAACTTAATTAATCACGCCCTAACAGTTTTATTGTTTTTTAATGCCCTAACTTTATCTTTTTTCTTTTTACGTAAGACTCTAACTTCATTTTTATCTTCAGTAGAAATGAACACCACCGTCACCAACAGGGTTTGCATATTTAATCGATTGAAATATGTATTTCTAACATATTTATGATGCAAGAAGAATGTGGAGATTCACAATGAATCATACGTATGATATTCTCAAAAGTGGTGGGCTGTATGTGTGGAAGGATGTAGACATACCACAAGTTGCTCGAAATGGTAGCCAAAAATAAATTGTATTGAGGAGGGACAAGTATGAGGTTTTTGAGGTGGAAAGTTGCATTGTTCTCCCGCTGTCCTTACAAAAAGAACCCAATCCGAGGGTAAATCTTAAATCTGGTTAGAATTATTTTTATGGAGCAAGTAAGGCTAAGCGGAGGAAAGGATGGTGATAACAAGGGTAGCGGTGTTGCTACAATCAATGAGAAATAGACCCGATAACATATAATGCAAAATGTATTAACTCTTAGACTGCAAAATAGGCTTTTTGTACACGTGAGACAAACTTAAACCCGTCATCTTTTGAATTGTACATGTGTTGAAAATATTACTCCTCTAGTCATGAAAGTTATAGCACCAACACGATCTTTAAATCGGACAACTAATTTATACTACAATACCAAAACCCTATAAATTACAATAGTATGAAAGTATATTATTTTGAAAATACTGAAGAACATATCGATGCAAAAAGCCTTTCATATGTATCCACTAAGGCCTCATTTGAGTACATGGTAGATGAAGATTAAGTGCTGACACATATAACGAGAAAATCATTAGTACGTGATTAATTATTTTAATTATTTCAAACTTAAAAAATGCTCTTGGATATATAAAGTTTTCACATGAAATATATCGTTTAGCAATTAAAAAAAACGTGCTAACGAAAACTGGGGTACAATCTACATCTTAATCAGAGGCGAACATGGCCTAACTAAACGACATGTTTTATGCTGATAATTAAGATCAATTTATACGCCAGTACAAAAGTAGTATTGAGGATACGTGCATCTTGAGCTGGCCCTAGTTTGAGGCTGGCCCCCAACCATATCTTGCAAATGGAGTAGGGAGGGCAAGCCTAAGCATGATCTGATGAGATTGAGGTGTACCATATGTTCAAGGGAGAGGTACTGATCTGTTCTATTAGGCTTGGTAGGTGAAGAGATCAGTGATCACACTTTGAACAAAACATGGTACATTGTCATGTGTCAATTGTCATAGGAGGAACCTAGTGCCATATCAATATTGCTACAGTGCAAAAGGTGGTAACAGTGATTATAGTACTTAATGCAGGATCATCCACCACTAACAAAGGAAAATGACACCCCAACTAGAGCACTTTCGATCGACGACGCATTTCTTTCTCGTGGCACAAGCTTAATTGTCGATCTCCATATATATGTACTGATCTGGCCACTGTTGATCAATCTTTGGACCAGCCGGCCGGTGTAGGAGGCATAGACGTGCAGGTTGTCACTAGGCTGGAAGCACACCTACGGTGTGATGCAGATCATGGCACCCTCTGGAAACTCATGAAAGATACATATACCTACGTTGATGCACATAAGTGCTCTAATTTAGTGTTACGGATATGGGAACCCAACAGTTTACCCATTACCTACCCGGGTATGGGCATAGTAAAAACCTTGCACCTACGAGCGGGTGTGGGTTGAAGGTGAAATTTTTATTATCGTGGGTGTGACTATGGGGTAAGAAAATGAAGTGGATACATATCATCTATATTTGTAGGAGATAGAACATCAATGAGAGAATAATTGTCATATTAATCTGAGTATAGGAAAAACATACTGACCACTTAGATCCAGAGTGTGTATTGCAGGATCTCACCTCCAAACAAATCCCCAATCATGAGGAGTAACATGCTCGAGCCAAGCCAACTGAACTTACATACTTGCACGCGTGATTCCTAGATCCTGCATGCTGCTATACGATGCTAGTCCGCTAGGGATGGCAATTTCCCCGCGGGGCCGGGTCCCCTGAGGGGACCCGCCCCTACGGGGGCGGGGACGGGGGCAATTTTCAACCCGCGGGTGTGTCGAGGACGGGGCCCCGCATTTGGGCGGGGAGGGGATGGGGGACAGATTTCACCCGCGGGTGACCCGCGGGGCCCCGGGGGGTACATATAGACCTCAAAATATAGATCAAAGAAAGCCCAAAAGGCCCAACCCACTGAAGACGTTCCTTAACCCTAGCACATGCACATCCCCTCAGTCTCTATCCTCCCCACATCGATTCCCCTCCCCTCCCGTGCTGAGACAGGAACATGCGGAGGCAGCGGCGCGCGCTCGCCTCTGGATCTCGCCCTCTCGGCGTCGCCGGCGCCGCCTGCGCCTGCCAGCCGCCAGGCCACCATCTCCCCTCCGGCATCCGGTGTCCGGCGGCTCCAGCTCCTCCTCTCCCTCCAGAGGGCGGCGGCGGCGGCACACAGGGCGGTGGCGGCGGCACACAGGGCGGCGCCGTTGCCGGCCGGCCGCAGCGCCTCAGGGCGCGGCGGGGAGGCGACACGGGTAGCAAGGGCACGGCCGGCGGCGAGGCTGCAGCGCATCACAGAGTGAGAGGTATTGCTCCATCTCCAATACTCCAAATGTGCCTTGTGATTTGTCATGTGTGTAACTGTGTGTCATGTGTGGAATGATGGATCAATATGTGTTCTTGCTGAATTTTTATGATGATATTTAAGTATTCATGCTATTTTTGATGGTGTGTTAATTATATACAATATTTCTTTTTGCTGAAATGATGATTGTATTGTATTTTTTGAGCTGATTGGATGGAGATGCTACCCAATGCGGGGCCCCAGTCGGGTTGCGGGGCCCCGCAGGGGTTGGGGGCAGGGGATGTTTTCAACCCGCAACCCGCAACCATGATCGGGGCCGGGGGCGGGGGGGGGGGGGGGGGGGTGAAGTCGGGGGTCGGGGTCGGGGGCGTTCCAGCCCAACCCGGCCCCGCCCCGCCCCGTTGCCATCCCTATAGTCCGCGACTCAGCTCGCTGGGCGCCAATATATAGATTGTGAGTTTGTGACTCTGCTTACGTATAATCAGAGACCGAGACAAGCCTAAGACAATTAAAACTCGAGTTCTAGGTTTATCTCCTTATTCTCTTTGTAAATCCATTCTCAAATTCATGAAAAGTTTGAAAATTCAACAAATTGTATTGATATATTGAGCCTTAGTCTTTATTGGTTAGGCCCTAGTCTTTTGTAAATTTCTGACTCCGCTGCGTATAATGGTATATGTATGCCAATTCTTTGTCAGGATTTTAGGTATCACCGCTGCTATATGTACGAATGATTTCATACGATGGTTGTACGATCAAACAGATCCCTCCTTCACAAAGCCCAAGCTCCTGACGTCCTGGCCTGCTATCTCGTTGGCTTGCATGCACATCCAACCAAAGCAATCTTCTTTTCTATCATATCTTAAGCAATCTTCTTTCTAATATCTTACGGTATAGTAATTGTACTTAGCACTTAACATTGAATTTATCATGTGGCAGGTTAAGCAAATTACACATACAAATATGTTCCTTGCACCTTGGACAGTGATAGTGTCAACCCTAGTTTCAGATTAAATTAAAAATAATGGCATATGTTTTGCAAAGAAAAATTTCAGATTAAATCCATAATAATAAAGAAAGCATTTCATGGCCATGAACATTGCCCAGGAACAAAAAAGAAAGAGAGATTAATTTACCAAAAAAGATGATTGTGAAGCTAAAGGAAATCAAGTAAATAAGATGGCATACCTTCGCCTTCGATGGCGTATATGCTATTAGATTAGTTTCAGACTTACAGATTAGATCGGAACATGCGAAAGATGGAATAGCGAACTCAGGTCTAGAGTTTGGAGTAGTGAACGTAAAACCAGGTTTAGAGGTGAATTGGGCTTTAGGGCCCATAAGCACGTTTGGACTGCGTCCGCGTGCACCGAGCGCTCACGTTAGGTTCCCCAGCCGTTCGTACCATTACATCTTGTCGTAACAAGATCGTAAAAAAAAAGAGTGAATTGTACATTGGACCATCTCTTTTTATCCATATTGCACTTTGGACTAGGGTTAAACTCCCATTTTCACTTTATACCAGGTTTCTTAACAAAATGTTTCACATTGTACCTGTCTTCTCCTCTAGCTGCCCCCATCTCCCTGCTCTCTTTATTCTTCTTCTTCTTCTTCGAGAGGCACGTAGATTTGAGCAAGCAGCCATGAGCAAGGCACAACGAGATCAAGCTGCCCCTGCCCAGTGCCCACACGGTTCTATTCGCTGGCTCCCCTGCCCAGTGTCCACACATTTCTGTTTGCTGCCTCAACGATTGGGATAATGGGCAGGTGGTCTCCATGCTCTGCTTGCTCATTGGTGGGAAGAAGATGCCATCCTACCAAGGTGAAGGCTCTAACTCCTTCAATGCCCAGAGCTTGAGCACCACGCTCATGAATCCGGTTGTTCCTTGCTGTCTTTGGTGTTGTACCCAAAGCTGAGCTCAACCTCTGTACATAGGCTCATCCACCTTCACATTCACTACCCAAATGTAGTAGCATGCCCTGAAATTAGCTTAGGGATGAAAGGAGGAAGAAGATGCTTTTGGTGACCGATATGTCAGCCAACTAGTCCAAAATACAACTTTTGGTAACAAAACATGGTCTAAAGTAAAAATACTTGCTACTACCTTGTCCAATATGCAACATAGGTAATAAACACTAGCCCAAGGTGCAATTCTATCTAAAAAAAATCGTATGTGCAGTATTTTCCTTGTAGGTATACAGAAACCACGGAGCGAATGTACCCTGCAATCATGCAAAGCTGCATGAAGATGCAGCAGTGTAATGGTAGTTACTACAGTAAATAGCAGCAAGATCGTGGCTTCGTGCAGGTACAGTACATGGCCAGAGTGCAAAACCGTCACGTGGGGCGTTCATGGCTTACCTAAGCACGCTGACGCACTGCTGGTCCGGTCCTCCTCATTTGGCTAACTTGTACAGTATGCAGCGCAGCAGCGATCTATCGAACCTCAAGTTCAATTTTGGTGCTTTGGGTAACAATTGGAAGTAGAGTAACATTCCGCTTGGTTTGGGTTTTTTTTTTCATGGATCGGGATTTATTATTTCTGTTTTGAGATTGGAACTTTCAATTGGAAGAAACACATACAGAAATGGGGCTCCTCCAAGTTCTATCTTAGATATAAAAAATTACTTACTGGTACTACTAGTGGTACCCCACTAGTACATTATCTATCTTAGATGTGAATATTACTTACTACTAACTCGTACTTCCTCCGTTTCATATTATAAGAATTTCTAGCATTGTCCACATTCATATACTTTTTTCGTATTTTAATGTACGACGCTGTTGACTTTTTAACCAATGTTTGACTATTCGTCTTATTTAAAAAATTTATGTTATTATCATTTATTTTACCGTGACTTGATTTATCATCGAATGTTCTTTAAGCATGATATAAATATTTTTATATTTACACAAAAATTTTGAATAAGACGAATGATCAAACGTTGGTTAAAAAGTCAATGGCGTCATACATTAAAATACGGAGGGAGTATTTGTTAATGAATTTAGACATATATGTGTGCCTAGATTCATTAACATCAATATAAATATGGACAATACTAGAAAGTCTTATAATCTGAAACGGAGGTAGTACATTATAATGCACTTGTGATGTAGGAGTAGTAGATTTAGTGATATAAACATACATTCTGAAAGAAATATTTCAAGGTCCGTGAAGAAAAATTTTCATGCTGAGACCAAGTAGGCTCGTTGAGCCCCACAAGCAATTCAATTACTACCAGGAACGACTCACTTCTGAGTTCTGATGTTACTCAAAAAAAAAAAAGTTTACACGTGTACAACATCTTGTTGATCTTGAGCGCGACACGACTCACTTCTGAGTTTGCCATGAAGCCTTCAGATCTTGTTGATCTTTGGCGCGACGACGAGCGGGTTCTGGCGTGCGATGACCTCGCGGCCGGCCGCCTTGTAGTCGAACGAGCAAGCGTGCGCGCCGGCGTGGCGGTGCGCGCCGCAGAACATGCCGCCGCACCGGCACGGGAAGCCCAGCAGACCCACCTTCTTCCGGCACGCCTCGCACCGGTTCTTCGCCTTCGTCGCCGTCGCCGGCGGCGCCATCACCGTCGTCCCCTCGCCTCCGACGCCGGAGTTGTCCTTGATCACGAGCGCCGAGAGGTCGGCGACGACCTTGTCCACCACTTTGTCGCCGTTCCCGGTGGCGGTGCCGATGAGATGTGATGTCGCGGCTGCGGCTGCTGCTCCTTGTAGCACTTGGAGCAGAGCCCGCCGGTGGCCGCGCTGCCGAAGAACCCGCAGCCGGCGGCGCACATCGCAGCGCCACCGCCGTCCCCCGCCTGCATCTTGCTCCCCGCCATTGCTACCTCCCTAACTCGCTGGATCAATCAACCTCGATCGCGCTAAAACACTAACGTTCTTGCCGATGAATCGTCGTGAGAGTCGCTCAACACCGCTGGATTCTCGTGCTTTGCCTTGCATCGGGTGTTCGGGTCGCCTTATATCGCAGCCAAGGCATGGCATTTCTCCACTGAACTCGAATTCGGAGCACGAGTCCGAATCGGATCGCTATCTGCGGTGCCCGCTTGCAGTCAGTGCACGAATCGGGTTGCTTCGTGGGCCCTGCTCTAAGTGGGCCGAGGAGCTCGAAATGGGCCGTTGACCAAATGGGAAAAGTCCGACCGGCCCTGCCATGTCGGACCGGTTAGTCACAGCCAAATCGGTATCGTTTTCTAAGGCGCGTGTCACGTCTTCGTTCGAGTGAGCCAAGAAACCGATAAGCCGACAAGCTGGAGTGAACCGAGGGAGAGTTTATGCTTTTATAAGAGTGTGTTTAGATGGTGGAGAAGTTGGGAAGTTGGAAGAAAGTTGGTAGTTTAGAGAAAAAGTTGGTAGTTTATGTGTGTAGGAAAGTTTTCGATGTGATGTGATGTGATGGAAAGTTGGGATTTTGGGTGAAACTAAACGCGGCCTAAGTTTTAGCGTGCTTGTTTCGTTTCTCACTCGCTCTGATCTCTCGGTTGATCGATCTCGTCGGCCATAGAGAAGCTACCTTCCTCCTCCGATCCGGCGCCGCCGCCGTGGCGTCGCAAGGCCAGCTCCTGGACTGCTTCATGTTCCCGGCCGATCGGCGCCCACCGGTAGGGCTATAAGTGGATCAGCCACGAACCAACTTATAGTTCAAAATAAGCGGGTTTGTGGCTTATTTTAGTATATAAGTGGGTTTTGCGGGTTGGTCACTTACACCCCTACCCACCAGCCTGCACCATGGCGGTGTCGCTCCCCGTCATCGACCTCTCCGGCCCCTGCAACGCCGGCAAAGAGCTCGAAACGATAAAAGAGCATTGAAAGAAATTTCTGCATTATTTACAACTTGGAACACGACAATGGCGTACAAGGCCGCAGGCAGTAGGCTACTGGCAAGAAACGGTCAATCCATCCAGAGCAAACATTGGTTGAATTGCCATGCTATATCTTTCTGAACATATATTGGCATCCATTGGCCGTGTACATCTACTACGTTAGATGTAGAGGCCAGGTTCCAATAGTACTATACATCTTGTGGGTGTGGCAAAGTCAGGGTTCGAAATTCCCCCACGAAATTATTTTGGCCAAATTTTTTTTTTGTCTTTTTTTGTGAATTTGACAAAAAAAATTCAAATTTAAACATTTTTATTCAAATATTTAAATTATTTCTGACCAAAATAATCAAAATTTCTAAAATTTTGGTCATATTGGTACCCTTAATACAAACACCGAAAATGATAATTTGAACCTGGGCGAAACCAGTTACGATTTCAAGCCGAGTAACCAAAGGGTTTATCCATACTGCCAAGTAACCAAAGAGTTTATCCATACTGCCGACAACTTTCATGCTTCTCAGTGATCTACTCCTTCCATCCCCATAATATAAGGCATGATCAAATTTGACATAGTCTTCAAAACTAATTTTTGATTTATAATTTCTCATATACTCTATGATTTGTAGCAATAAAACTATAACCATCTCAAAGTAAATTGAAATATCAATTCAATGATATTATTTTAGCAAATAAAATTTAAATGCTAATTGTTGGTCAAGTGTTGTTAAAATTGAATCTTAAAATACATGCATGCTTTATATCTTGGTAGGGGAAGTACCATGAACAATGCAGCAACGGAGCCCATATGGATGCTCAACTAGCCTCGGAGCCGTTGGATCCGATTTATCCTTTCTTAAGGATCACACAGGGATTGTCTTTTTTTTTTCAAGAAATAAATGGGCATGAGGTAAAAGTCAGTTGGCTGGAATGTACAATACAGTGCAAGTGGAACAACATGCTCAACTCGATAACTAATGACTCTTGCGAAATAGTACAAGTGCAAGGTTTATAATAGATCAGGTGATAGTCAACTCTAAACTTGTGCACATCATGTACTCATTAATTAAGAGGTGATATGTATAACACACTTACTCTAATACATTGTAATAAATTTTCTTTATTTGTTTACTTTTAATCTATTGGTATCTTGCCTTGATCAATTTTTAGAGTTTGTGTTGAGATTATCTTTGTTATGAGAGTTGGTATATCCTCTCTCTCTCTTCGCTTTTCCCTCATTTATCTCGTAATATAAGGTCACATGAATCTTTGCTTGCTCTAACCAAGTTGGAGTATTTGTTAAGGAAGTGTGTCCATTTCAAACCAAACTACCTCGTCAACGAAATACTCTTTCCGTTCCTAAATATAAAGGATTTTAATTGGATGTGACTTATCCTTATCCTACTAGAACGAATCTGCACAAGCTTTATGTCCAGATTCGTTGTACTAGAATATATCATATCCAACCAAAATCTCTTATATTTAAGAACGGAGGGAGTACATGCAGTGCTTTATTTTTATCCAACCCCAAGTTAATGTAGCGCGTGTACAATTTAAATGTGTCCTTTTTTCCTTTTGAAAAAGAAAACCGCCTAAACATGTCAAATGCCACACTATAATCTACTTATTTATATGTGGGAAGTTGCCGGGCATTAAGCAAGCCGAGCAACGAGTCCGCTAGCATGTCAGAAATGGCTACGATCAGTGCCCTGCGGCTCCTGCAGGCAGCTGCCTTTGCCGTCTTGCTTGTCTGCCTAGCGCCGGCAACAGCAGCGTCGGTTAGGCGGCTGCCGACGACGAGCTGCCCTGACAGGTGCGGGAACATCAGCATCCCCTACCCCTTCGGCATCGGCGCTGACTGCGCCCGCGATGAAGGCTTTCAGCTGGACTGCGAGCTGGATTCGCCACCGCGCCTCGTCACGTCGTCTCAGTTCGAGAAGCCACAAGAGCTCGTCAGCCTCTCCCTAGCCGACGGCGAGGCCCGGGTCCTCCTCAACCCGCTAAGCAAGTGCTACCGCGAAGAAGAAGTAGTGATCTTGGGCGACACATCCACCTCGTAATCGTATACGTCCATCAACGGCAGCACTACCTACCGCTACTCGCCGGAGAAGAACCGCCTCGTCGCGCTAGGCTGCCCCAACCTCGGCTACATCGTCGACGGCTCTGACAACTACGTCAGCGGCTGCATGTCCGCGTGCCGCCGCCCGCCACCGCCGTCGTCGTCGCTGGGCGATGCAGTGCCGCGGTTGCCGGGGCGGCCGGCGAGCGGTGCTGCCAGAGCGTCATACCCCCTACCCTCAACTTCTACGTGCCGTGCATGTTCAACTTCGCGAACGGGAAGGCGGCGGTGGACGACGAGCTCCGTGGCGGCACGATGCCTTGCAGGTAGGGATGTAAGTGGATAGTCCCGCTACCTGTATAAAAATCCGCTTGCTAGTTCCTTTCTTGTGGAGAAGAAGTTTTTACTCCCGGTTCGTAACCCCTCCGTAGTCCCGGTTTTTCAACCGGGACTAAAGATCTCTATCTTTAGTTTCGGGGTGAAAAAACCGGAAGTAAAAATCTATTTTTAGAGGCTAGATCGGTTGCTACTTTATTCTATCATTTTCTTCATTATTTTTAATATATTGATTCACTCTATCTCATCCCAAAATCCCAAATCAATTATCCCCGAATAGTCTCCAAATTCTCAAATCAATATATCTAAATACATCACAAAATCTTAAAAAATTTACATCACAACTTCTACAAAATTCATCACAAATACATCACATATTCACATCACACACAAATCAAATACATCACACACAAATCGTCTCAGATCCAAATCACATATTCTCAACAAAAAAAAAGAAAGAAGACGAACGGCCCGCCATCTCGCCGGCCGCCGCCCGCCGTGTCCCCGGCTCCGCCGCCAGCTGCCAGCCGCTAGCACGCCGCCGCGCCGCCTCGCCTGGGCCTCCGCGCCCTGCCGTTGCAGAGAGAGGTGGGGAGGTGGGGAGGAGGGAGGAGGGAGAGGAGGAGAGGAAGGGAGGAGGGAGAGGAAGAGATAAGGGTGACTCTGTGAGGAAATGAGTTAAAAAAGGAGAGGAGGAGATTGTATTGATCCGATCCGCGTGCAACCACCCTGCTTATGTGGACTTTTTTTCCGGTTGGTGTTACCAACCGGGACTAAATTGGTAACATCAACCGGGAGTAAAGCTTATATCGATCTTTTTCCCCGTTGGTGTTACCAATCGGGACTATAATAACCGGGAATAAAGATAAAAAAATTCCTCAGAGCTTTCAAACCGGAACTAAAGATGTTTTTAGTCCCGGTTTTTAATACAACCGGGTCTATTGTGAAATCTGGTGGACCGACCAAAGATGGTTTCTCCACCAGTGATGGTAGTATAAAATTTAGAAGAAAAAGTAAACTAGAAGTGAGATAACATGTTTGCCCGTCCCGCTTGCATCCCTACTTACATGCACGTGTTCCTGGTGGAGAAAAGCTGGATTGAGACCATGTATGACGATAGGAAGGATTTCAATAGGATCGACGGCGAGTTCGAAGTCGTGCCCGTCGTGCTCGACGGGACGATCCGGAACGTCTACAACTACGCGTGCCGGAGCTCGCGACGTACACCAGCGACGGCCAGGGGTACCGGTGCAATTGCTCCAAGGGCTACGAGAGCAACCCCCTACCTCGACGACGGATGCACAGGTATATAAATGGGCCGGCCCTGACGGGGGGCGAGCAGTGCAACCGCTCTGGGCCCCCCGATCGTAGGGGCCCAACAGGAGGAAGCAAGCCACAGTAGTAGCGTCGTAGCGATTTCTAAACTCAACAGTCAACGTTCCCAATTCCTACGCGTACGTGAGTCACAAGATTAACGCCGCCCACCGCGCGCGTTGTCACGTCCTTTGGATCGATCACCAGTCGTCATTCATCCGATCATCCAGTCCTATCCGTTCCCCACCCATGCGTTGATCAATTCACCGGTATCGCATCGGCGCATCCGCGCGCCTGTCGAGTTGCCGTCGGCTGCCGCCACCAGCAGCGACTGCACGAGCCCATATCTGCAAGTCTGCAACTACTATTGCTGAACTGCATTGA